CTGAATCTGAGACGCGGTGTTTTACGCCGGTTCTCCCTCAAAAAACCCTTTCAATCCCCCCTTGCTCCCCATCGCTCTGGACGGATGGAGATGTTTCAGCTCATCAGCTGCCTCCGCCAGGCAACTTCGATATTGGAGAGATGCAGCAGTACTTTGATGGGCGGGAATTGCCTAGTGTCATGTACAGTACATTATCTTAGTGATGTAGGCTAGGATTTCCCTTCACCATGGCAAGAGAGGTCGTGAAAATATCTACCCTCCCCTACTTCTTGTTCGCTACGTGCACAACATATTCTCAAAGCTGAAACCACATGGGACTCTCCTGATGATATGTGACCATCCGGCAAATGAGCGTGACTCGCTTCTTCGATCTGAGATTCTCGCAGTAACCGCTTTCATGAAGTGAAAGATGCGGGCGGTGGAGCGTGAGCACTCGCTCGTATATCCGGAGAGTCCTCGTGCAAAATTCTATTGAGAAGTCAGTCCGCCGTGTAGGTCCACGCCGATAATTAATAGGAACTATTAATTAGATGGACTGATAGTTATTTCAGATGCTAACATCTTCATTCCAGGCCATGGTTATCTCCATGAATCTATTCAAAGTTTACATTCTGCAAGGTCACTTCATTGGGGCCTTTAATGTCCATCTGAGCAAGATGTATGATTTTGCCGTGGATAATAACCATTGAAGATTGCTCTTGGATACCCAAATGTTGATTGGAAAAAAAAAAAAAAAAAAAAAAAAAAAAAGTTACATGTATGTACCAACCATGTCAGAGTAGATAACCTGTCTCCGAATGTCCAATTCGTACATGCGCGCACAAGAGGAACATACCATCCAGCTCTTCCTTACTCAGGAACTCCATAGCTCTCCAGCACACGGAAGAAACATTCTCCAAAGAAACTCATGATATGAGCGTGATTGACATGCCTATATAGGGTCCTGATGTTCGGCCCAGAGTATTCCATGTTCGATCATCGTTTTGGGGTCAAACCTCATCACTTCTAGAGTAGAGTAGAGAGCGCACGGCGACAGATACGAGGAGCCAGCCAGACGAGAGGACGAAGAAGAATTGAATTCTTCAGCGCTAGTTGGTTGGCAAATGATGAGCGAGTTGAGAACGGTATAGGCACACTGGTGGTGCCAGAGATTATATCGCAGGAATGCCGTTGTTCAACCTCAAGGGGAAATGCGTCAAGGATCTAGCTGGATTGCTCGACCAAGTTATATTCATCGGGAAAATAACGTTGGAAGAGACGATAACGAGGGGCGATTGACCGTCGGGGTGTTTTAGAATAACAGCATCCAACTCTCCATGTATTTATTCTCTAGGCTCACCTCTTAAGTTTTATAGACTTTAGAACAGGTTAAGGCGCTGACATGGATATCCAACCTTATTTGGCTTGAACAAATATATCATAGGGGAAACAGGTGAGCGGATAAGGAGAAATTGACCATGTTCGATGTGTAATAACTGATTGCAGTGATAAGAGCTTTCATATACACCGGTATCAACCAGCATCTCCGTTAGTAGTGAAGCCAAACGGGGGGTATTGGGTTCAAATCCATGGATGTTATCTGACTCCGAATTTAAGCCAGACCACTGGAGTCTATTCTTTCAACAAGCCTCCGTGTGGGCGCAATATTTTGGACTTTCAGTATAAATAGCTATTAATAGTTCAAAAGTAGTTAATAATGTAATTGCTAGAGCTAAACTCTGTGGTGCATCTGAGAAAATGGTGCAGGCGAGTCGCTGGTTCGTACAAATTTCTAGAAGGGAGGTCAGTAAACTATAAAAACAAATACCAGCGCGCTACTATACATAGCAGGATGCAAATGACCACAAAATAGCCAAAGTTCTCAAAGTGAAAAAATGCGGAAAAATGCGGGAAAAAAAAAACTCGCACCAACCCTACCCAGCCGCAGCCGGTTTAGGCACATGCATGCATTCAAATTCGAAATACAAATAAATCATCACAACCACGTCCATACCAACCACAGGTAAAATATCCCCGCTACAATCGCAATGCGCATAAGCGGCTTGACAAACTCCGTACGTAGCACATGTCTGAAGCTGCTTCTACCGCCACCGACGCGATCATAGCTACTACTGCTGGCAGCACCCCTTTTCGGGGCCCAGCTGCCATCCCTCAACTTCTCGTCCAGCGCCAAGTCGGACCGTCGTAGGCTCTCGCTAACTTCATCATGGCCAGTGCCGGTTGTGCGATTTGAGAATCGGTTTTCACTGTGATAGGTGGGGGAGGAGGTTGAGGTGCTGGAGGTTGTGGAGAGAGCGGACTTGTCTAGGTGTTTGGAAGGCTGGCGGCTGTGGGTGAGGGGGAGGAGGGTTGTGGAGTCATGCGATGATGCTGGTGATGTTGGGTCTTGGGCTGTGCGGAATGTGCGGGCAACGGCGCGGACAAGGAGGACGAGGATGGTAAGGAAGAGGACGTAGCCGTATTGGATGAAGATGGAGATTTGGTCGGGGAGGAGGCACAGGTGGTTTTGGATCGTGGAGGAAGAAGATGAAGATTCTGTGTTTATGGCGTTTCCCGTCTGGAGGTCGATAGAGTTGTAGAGACTGGCCATTTGGAAGCCCGGCCGGCGCACCCCCATTGCCAATGATAAGGTTTTCACGGTGATCTCCTTGGGCGAGCTGCTGAATTCGCGATGGATGATTTCACAATAGTCATGGTCATCGCCGGAGTATATCTGCTTTACGTTGGCTCCTGCGCTTCTTATTATTTTCCTGCCTATTGCGTCCGAGAGGACATTTTGGTATTGGTAACCACGAGAGACCCTGATAGCATTTCTTTCGTCCTTCTCCGGTAATGGGTCTGTAGAGGATGGCGGAAAACGTTCTCGCAGGGGTCCACAGGGTGTCCCTGGTTCACGGTAGAAAGGCACATGTGTAAGGATAATTGTAGGGAGATCTATATCCTCAGGTGGTGCAGAGGATATCACCGGTGGGGAGGGGTTAGCGGCATCGACAACCCTGGAGGGGGTAAAATAATTCTCCGCATAGCCCTGGAGAGCAAGCAATTCTTGCTTAACTGCGCGTGCCTTTACATTTGAAAGATCATTTAGAAAGTCATCGGCCGCTCTCCATATCTCGTCACCCCCGGAACCGCCAGTTTCAGGATCCGGCTGATCCATTGCGCTCAACGAAACGGTGTCGACGGAGACAAACGAGTGATTGCCCAAGACGTCTACGCGATTCCCAACGCCAAAATAAGTCTGGAACCGCTCGAGCACGGGCTTTTGTATCCCATGCCCAAATCCTAGATCATGATTGCCCGGCAGACTGGCGATGATCTTCCGGCCCCGTTCGCTAGCAGCGGAATCGACCCCTCCCAATTTCCATGTATCGAAAAACAGTCGAACGAACCGTCGATACTCTTCCATCCAGACACTGTGCCCATATTTTTTAAATCTTTCCTCTGGACTCGAGCTCCTCTCCGTTCCCCATTCCCTCCCCCCATCAAACAAATCCCCTAAGAAGAAGGTGGTATCCGGTCTCAGATCTCGCTGAAGCAACGAGTAAGTTCTGTAGAGATATAGATCAGCGTAAAATACTGTCAGTGACGAGAGCGGCCACGGCCGGCCGGGATATGTATGTGGGTCGACCAACTGAGGGTCCGCAATAAACACAACATGATGCGGCACGGCTTGTTCCGGCTACATATACGCGGAATGTGTCAGTTTTCAAAGACCTTATACCAAATGAAGCATCTCATAAAAATAGCAACATAATAGATAGTAACAATGAGAGGACAAAGAGAATATGTGAAAAAAAGAAAAAAAAAATAGTAGACAGACCCATTGTTCCCACCCTGTCCACTCACACCCTCGCACGCTATCCCTGAACACAGTCCGTTCCCCCCACCAAAGCGTCACTCCCCAAAGAAGAATCAGGACATTCTGCAACGAGCACGCCAGCCGTAGCAGTCTCAGCACATATCCGCATCGTGTCCTCCGCCTGGTCTCCCGGGTACATGAGGCACCTAAACGAGTTGCTTGAGTTTGTATACTTGCAATGGTCGTTGTTACAACGGGTGGGAGGGAGTTGTATATACGCCAAACAAGAGAGGGTGGTTCCACGAAGTGGTCGCGATGGGAGCGAGAGGCCATTATTGCTCGTTTATCTTTTACTTCTCGTTTTATATGGTTTGATGGTATTAGTTATGTAGCATCGGTGGGCGGTTGGACTTGGCAGATGCGGCTCGGGTGTTCCTGGCTGGTAGGTATAGGCTCTCGCTCCTTTGATCGCGCTGCATGTAGTATATGAGAGTCGAATGGATGTGCACAATGCAATATAGCCCGTAGCTGAGATGCTATATGGACAATCGGTGAGGGAATACGGACGGTCGAAGGAGCATCGTTGTCGCCGTTCGCCTGCGCTGCTCTCCAAGTTCTGTGCTCGTCCTTGTTCGTTGTCTTTTGCTTGTTTTTCTTTTTTCGCTTTTTCCGCTCCCTACCGGGTTTTATCTCCGCTTTTGTTCCGCTTTCTTGGGCGCCAGTAACTGCTAGTTATTGTATTAAGCACACGTCCTGATGCTTTCTCCTGTCGCGCCGTGAGTGGGCCTTGGGTTCGGTGATGCGGAACAAAGTCGGCATGGGCTTTCAAGGCAATCGCAATCGCTAGAGAAACGAGCCGCCGGAGAAGAATTACTTTGCAGGCCGGTTTATCACAGAGTCAAAATTCTTCTGAGTAGCGGAGGTTTGTTGGAGGATAATCGAGCTAAACACGTTGATATCTCCTTTAAGAAACTAGCGACTCCAAAGGTTCTGGGCCCTTAGTATTTTAAAATAAGCTACGCTAGACTGTGATAGGAAGGTCCAACACTTTTAGCCCCTTTTCTTCTACAGATAATTTACCCTTTTGCTAGATTCTATGCAATATAAATTACATCAGTTCCTTCAAAAGACTCCTATTGAAAATTAGGAAGCCTCTACTGGGCATCCAGGTCAAGTTGAAATAAAATGAAAGAAATTATCATCCATCGAGGGGAACGTCATATCTCTATCTAAGTCATCAAGGACGGACCGTTTCTATTCAGACCCATCCTTAGCTATCGTATCGGGCACCCCAATCTGGTATTTTAAACCAAGTAGCCCCTAAGATAAAGCTCAACAAGAAGAAGAAAATAGAGGATTGGAGTATTCACTCTTAGCTGTAGTTCATTTTGACAAACTGTATTTCTGTGGAGGTGGTAGAACTGGGTTGAATCTGGGATACAACTCTTTGACAGTGCGTAAAAGTGGGTGTTGGACAACCTGCCCACTTGCCAGACCAAATAATATTAGCTGACATAGTGCTCTGATCACCATCACCGCCTTGAAGTATTCCCAGCTACTAGGTAAGAGAAGTTGAGGGGGAGGTAGGTGCCGTGCCGCCTTGGATGGATTTCAAGAATCCGAGAGCTGAGGGGTAATGAGCGTAGAGACCAGCAGAGGAAGAGGACGGGATTCCAAGCAGGTTATATAACCCTTGTGTGAACAGTCTAGAGATTGCAACTGGGATGGATTGTTCTCCAATATCCATGCTGACACTCGCCCTCAGCAAGGGCAGTGTGGCGCCCAGATGCCTTTCTGTCAATAAGCAGTGGAGATGATGCTATACTGCGTAAAGGACGCTGCCCAGTCTCTAGATGATTCTCCACGTTACTGCTAGCAGGGGCCCGTAGAAGTAATCATGGCTTAAGCCAGTGTTCGCCGTAGTCATGGAATGCCATGACATGCGTGCTCGCAGAACTTATTAGGTATCTAGGCAAGGCACGACGGATAAGTGATTGGATGAAACCATCCCTGTTGCAACTAGCGATTCCTCAAGCTGTAATGAGGATGGGCCTTTATGTAGTAAGCGTTACTATCATATGAGAGACTCAATGACGATTGACTTCCTAGGTGTCAGGGGCATGCCGTTCCTCTGGTGAATTGATAATGGGCCTTTCATATGTTGTTGTTCTCCGACATATGTAGCAGAAATTGGAGAAGGGAAAGTAGAAGGAGAATTACAAGAAAAAGAAGACGATATGAATGCAAAAGAAAGAGAAGAAGTTTAGAAGTAAAAGGACAGAGCAGTTGTTTGCAGGCCTGATATCCAAAGAAACGGCTTGGCTAGTGAAGTACGTACTCTGCCGATCCTCTAGAGCTCCCGAAAGCGAACTTTATACTGGGCGTCGGCAGACTCGGGCCAGCAGCATCAAATCTCCGCGGTGGGGATTGTTTCGTTTATGAATGACCTCCGTATTGGTTTTCGGATACTTTTGATCGGTCCCCACCGGGGGTGGCATAACCTTCATGGATCGATACCATACAATATAATATAATGAAATATAAAATAACATAAAATTAGAGATGATATATAAGCTTTTCACTGAACCGAAACCAAGCAGATGTGGGTATAGAGGTGACTTCGGAGAGAGATCTATACTACAGTAGATTTGTCAATCAGAGTCAATGAATCGGCTGGGAATGTCACTCAAAATCAATGGGTACCTAGTAGTAGATTTTTAAAAATAAAAATAAAACAAGTTGAAAAGTATGCTAATGAAAAGTTATCCGCACGCTGTAGTCACCAGAAAACAATCCAATATGTCAAAAAACAAGAAGACAGCCCATGCGTATTAAGTTGAAGAAAAAAAAAATCATTTGCCACGGGGACAACACTGTCGTACATCCGGGCACTCGACCCCACATTCTAGGAGGCAGTTAGGGTCAACAAAATTCCCCCCTGGGCTGCGCTGTCGAGGCCCAGCTCCTCCATTATTTGGAGAACACGACGTCATTGCTCCCGCCCCGCCAGTCGCATCATCGTCACTATCAGGATAGAACTCCGGCTGGATGGTCGACGAGTGGATACCGTAGGCATGCAGACATCCACGCACATGGCGCGCAAGCTCCATGTATCGCTCCGACCCTTCGCCCTTAACATCATGGCTGACTTGGATATGCAGCGAGCAGACGAGATTGGTATCGCTGAGCTGCCAGACGTGCAGGTGGTGGCAGCTGATGATGCCGGGAAGGCTTTGGATGTCTTCGATGATGTGGTCGATGCTAAGGTCGGCGGGGACGGCTTGGAGGAGGATTCGCGACGCGGCTTTGCAGAGCGGGATGGCGGAGGCGAGAATTATGAAGGTGATTACGAGAGAGATGCCTGGGTCGACATAGTAGCGCCAGGAGTAGTCGGTGAGCCAGATTACGAGGGCGGAGGCGATGACGCCGATGTTTCCCAGCGCGTCGCCGACTACGTGAAGGAAGACGCCTCGCATGTTTAGGTCGCCGTGGGAATGGCCCTTCTTCCCTTCGTGGGTTTTCGGCTTGGCGTGATTGTGTCCGCCATGTAAGTCGTGGTTCTTGGGGTCCTTGGGTGGTTTGCCAGTTGTTTGTTGACCGTTTGGCTGGGAGTATGATGTGCCGTCGTAGTCGTCTAATAAATTCGTTCGTTCCGAGGGACGAGTGTCGTTCGAAGGATATTCCACGTCTGATTCAGAACCCGGCTCGTCAAAGCGACTGGCTTCGATGATATCTCGACGTAGAATGGCGGGGTGGATTTGAATATCTTCCGAATCGCGGAAAGGTCTTTGTAATGATGCGCTAAACCGGCGAGAGTTGCGGCGACGGTGGATGGCATTGTTGGATTCGCTCCACCTCGTCCCAGGACTAGAGGCGGCATTGTTCTCCGTAGCAGCCCGCTCTTCAGCAGACCAGCTCGCTATTACATTTTCTGGCATTACGCTGGCCACGGTTCCGGACTCGTCCGCCAAGACCTCCCTGCCTGGTTCCTGAATGTAGCCCTGCTCCGCCGCGTCTACAGCCGCCATTCCATCACCATGGCCATGCGAATGTCCTCCGTGGGCATGCGAGTGGTCGTGGAAAAGCACCAATCCAAAGATATTGGATAAAAGACCAAAACAACCAACGACACAGACGAGTTTGGGGTTATTCACCACTTGTGGTTCGACGAATCGTTGGATGGCTTCCAGGAAGATTGACACACACAACGCTACGAGGAACACGCCATTGGCTAAGGCACCTAGAGTCTCTGCTCGTTGCCACTATGATGATTCGAAATATAGCGTATTAGCTTTGGTTCATTCCGCAAGTACCCAGGCGAATCCACAGACTGGACAGATCCATCACTTACCCCATAGGTATACACCTTCGAGCTCGTTCTCTGGTTGGCGACTTTGACAGCCCATAGCCCGACAAGCAGCGATAATACATCATTGAGCTAGAGTATAGTAAAAGAGGGAACTAGTCAGCAAAAAGAGATGTTCAAGAAACATTCCCCTCGAAATGTCCACGTACCATATGAAAGGAATCCGCAACCAAAGCTAGCGAATGAACGGAGTAACCTGACCAATGCGAAAAACGGCGCAGTCAGCAAAAAGCTCCTACATAACTTTCTTATCACCTGGCGCCCCAATGTAAAAGCGCCTGTAGACTCACCAACGCCGAGTTCAAGGAGGAAGAATGCAGAATCGATTATAAGGAGGAGAATCATCCGGTTGGACTTTGACATCCACATCGTTGCGGGATTGGTGAGCCCGCACTGCCCTGAGGGCCGCGCGAATGGGATCCGACGGGGAAAGGGGGAGGATTGAATCAAACGGCTTGCTCTCGCAAGCTATTGAGAGTTAAAGTGAGATGAATATAGTGTAACTGGGTTGTTGTTCGCTCCTATACACTACTAGGAGCCGGTTTGGGCTGGTATACGGTGAGAGGATGGTGTACATGTATAGAGCTATGAAGCGATATCATCGTCCTGACCACGCATTTTAGTAGAGGGGGAAAAAAAGAAAAAAAGAAAAAGAAAAAGAAAAAGAAAGAAAAAAAAAAAAAAAAGAAAAAGAAAAAGAAAAACCGGAGTATCGTAGAAGAGAGCAAATTAAAAATTAAAAACTGTCAAAAGTGACACCAGCCCGGCCAAACGGAGGCGGGTATTAGTCATCAGAGATCGCTGCGTCCTTCTAGATAATCTGTAAGGAGTAATTGTTGTTAATGGTAACTTTGCTTTTAACTTTTTCTTTTAGCCCTGCGGATGTTAAGCTTTTATTCCACTATGAGCAGATTAGTTATTGCGACGGCTTCTGGTCAAGGTATGACGTCGACACTCTTAGTGCCCGCCAGCCACACTCTGTTAAGTCTTGAAGCTGTACTCCATAAGGATTAGCGGCTCCATGTGCGACCAGGAGATGAATCGAAGTAAGGATCCATTCATTGTTTTCTTTATTCAATACCGTAGTACTCCGTACATGTACAGTATATATTAGGTAGGGGCTATTAGCTTCATGGGGGATATGGCAAGGAAAAGAAAAGCTAGGAAGACGGAAAAGAGGGAAAATTTTAACCAAGTGCGCCGATTGCCAAAAAAAAAAAAAAAAGAAAAAAGAAAAAAGAAAAAAAAAAAAAAAGAAAGAAAGAAAGAAAGAAAGAAAAAAGAAAGAAAGAAAGAAAGAAAAAAGAAAGAAAGAAAGAAAGAAAGAAAGAAAAAAAGTGTTGAGGGAGAAGAATAAAAAAAGAGCACGTAAATGAACAGGTATGTGCCTAAACAAAACGCCTTTGCCGCCCTTGATTGCTTTATCCGAGACACGTAGGTACGTACTCTGGGGTATATGCGTAAGGTGTTTCCAGCAATCCAACCCAAACCCCAAACAGCATTTTGATTCGAACTTTTTCAAAAAATCTCCGCTCAACTAGGGCAGGGAAAGTGCGGAAAGTATCACCAGAAGCTTAATGATGGCTTGTTTCGTTATTAGTCTTCGGATCTGGTAGCTATCAAAATGACTAGCACAAATGTCGATGTGATTATCTGCATGAAAAAGGAGATATTTGTCAGTATTATTAGTGTGCGTGGTTTATTGTGACCTGAAGTAAGGAGGATGGTATATAAAAAAAGAAAGAAAGAAAGAAAAGAAAAGAAAAAGAAAAGAAAAGAAACAACCCAAAGTGTGCCGGTCGTACGCATCTCCCAAATTTTCGTTCTGCGAAACATACATATGTTACAGAACGGGGTCGGGAGATGCATGTGCTGTGCCTGTCTGCCAGACAAGAGGGACAGCAACAAAAGCGAAAAATATAAAACAAATAAATAAAAAGGTGAAGAACCACACAAGAGCTTAATAACGAGACCTCTTCGTCACCCCGGGGCCCAGCAAGAAAGGAAAAGAAAAGAAAAGCAAAGGATATATATATATCACTTACCCCAACGGCACAAACACCAGCAAGATTCAACTCCCACCCGCCCGCCTGCACCTTACCCCTCGCCAGCGCATTCTGCTGTCTCCAGAAGCGGTACGAACCCATAGCGGCAACTATTATCGCACAGGCGTGACACGCACAGGCCAGCGGCCTGCCGACTGTGTGAAACCCAAACGCGATGTTTTTATCCTGCTTGTTTTGCAGGCTGAAAAGTTGGGCGATGAGGGCGCCCTGGAAGGCGAAGGCGAGCGATGTGCGGATGTAGGCTAGGAAGGTTCTTTCGAGGGCTGTGGTTGGATTTTTTTGGGTTAGTTATAGAAATGTAGATATGCAAAAAGTTTTCAACTATTCGCAGCTTTTATTGGGGAGGATGGATGGATGGGCATAAGATATGATAGGGGGAACATGTGCGAGATGCTGTGTAAGGGTGGTTATTTCTTGTTCTTCAAGTGCAAAATAAATACAAAAACGAAGAAAACCCAAGACACGCCACGCCGGCTTCTTCTTTTCGGAACTCCAAAATAGAATAAATATATTCCTGGACCAAAGCTTTTGGAGATGCCCAAAAATAACAAAAAATATCAGGGATGGGATGGAATGGTTTGCTTTTCCTGGTGAGCAATGGCGAGCTTTTGACTTATTTTTTGGAGTTGGCTGGCTGATTTTTCCCCAATCCCATGCAGCCCCAAGACAATCCTTTGGGGTAAAGTGCCAGTAGATATAAAACATATAAATAACCCCTCTCCCCCTCAAAAAATGTAATATTGTATATAAAACGTTTTAGGGAGAAGAGGAGGAGGGAAGGGCAGAGAACAGCAGAAAGGTATCCTCAACTCACCAAAATGATCCCTGTTCTGGCTCCGTGGCACCGTCATCGAGACATGCTGAAACCAAAACCTCTTCACTCCCGCCAGGATGCCCTTGTTATTGGTACCACTGCCTGCCGCGCTGTCCCCGGCTCTGCTGTTCGACTGCTGTGTGCTTAGCGTACGTTGGACAACCAGGCGCACGGAGCCTGACGAGATCGTGGATATTGAAGATGACCGGCTGAGGCTATTGGGATTGCGGGCGTTGTCACGATTATCTTCGTCACTGTGGTCTGACACCGGGACCGGAGGGAGGTCGACGAGCTCTGTCGCATCTTGATAGCTCTGGTCATAATTGTCAACTGGTGCCGTTGCCGCCACCGTTGGTGATGCCGCTATGTGGTGGCCATCACTGTCGGCGGGCCCAGTTGGTTCTACGACGTCATGGTGAGGATTGGTGTTGCTGAAGGGGGACGATAGACGAGGACGGGAACGGGAACGGATAGCTTCGTCCTTTCTTGCCGTTGCCAAAGACGTGGAGGTGGAATTGCCGGGGTCATGGTTGGGAGCGATATCAATAGTATTATTGCTGTCCTTGCTGGTTGTATTGTTACGGAGAGAAGACTGGAGACTTGCCATGACGTGGACACATAATGTCTCTTCTCTTTTCTGAAACCATGCAAGCAAGAGGAACAACAACTGGCAATTAAGTGTGATAATAAGAGACAGCCGTGAAAGGTAAGGTAACTATTTTTTATTTTTTATTTTTATTTTTTTTCGTGGTGCTTAATGATATTTTGACTGGTTTCCACGCTTTTTTTCTTTTTTGCTAGGAACCGATCAAAAAGTGACATGAATACTCGCTCGGGAGAAAACCCCGGACCTGACAGAACCTTTTTATTTTATTTTAGTCTTATTTTTAATTCTTTTTCTTTTTCTTTTCTTTTCTTTTTTTTTTTTTGCCCTCCGCCCGCAAGAAAGTTCTTTTGCCAAATCCATGGTTCGAATGTGCTTTCATCCGCCCGCCTAAGCCCCTTGACCAAAAGAGGAGAACAATTCCCCAGATTTCCGGATTTACGAGTGAAACTCCTTAAGAAATGGCTTGACGGATCCAATAGTTTAAGAAATAGCATTTTGTAACCTAATCCTCGCCCAATTCATCTTTCTCATCTACTCCCGGCATTACAGAGCACCTTCATCGTAGTTTTGTTATCGCTTCATGTCTCACACCGTAGTTTCTCTCTCCCCCCCCCCTCTCTCGTTTTCTTCTCCTTCATCTTTTTTTTTTTTTTTTTTTTTTTTCCCTGCCAGTCGCCGTTGCGGAGAAACAAGCATATAACTAATCGGCTGCCAAGACCGGCTATCGGGATGTGGCTTGTCGGCTAAGGTTTGCCGGGGAAGAAAACTGTTCGGGATCCGAGATTCTAGACCTCCGAGCGGCGCCTGTTTGGTTATCACAATCAATCTCAGCCCATTCATGAACATCTTTGCATTCTTCAACCATCTTTCTTGCAACTGGCGCGAAACTCTCTCACCCATTAATCAGAGGCAAGATTGTAGGTAGCGAAGAAACATGGCGCACTTGCGGCCTGCAGTGCAGACGGGTTAGGAAGAACTACTGGCTGGAACTCAAGGATGCATTACTATTGCTTGTCATCGGACGAATAGTTAACCTCAGATATGTTGTTCCCAGGTATTCAAATTCCGAGAAGCGTTGGCTGCTATGAGGCACGGTGCACTGATGAACATACCATTTCCGAAATTAAGCCGCATCAGGATGGCTGGATCGGAAGTGCAGACACCACTTCGGAACAGGAATGGTGCTTACTTGAAATATATTTGTCGGGACCACATTGATCGGGAGCCATAGCCAACAGTTGGCACCCAGAGCCTACGAGATAGTCCGGCAAAGCTAAATCCTTGGGACGGAGCTCATACTAACTAATACATGCTTCCAGCGTCATGGCTTCGAAAGACTAGGAAGGATTTACTGTTAAATTGGTGTTGCTTGGAATTTGACCGGATATCCTCAAGATACAAGAGGACTTTGATCGATGGGAAACAGAGCAATCAACTACATTCATTATTTCATATTTCGACTTCAAAGTGCGGCTACAGGCTTACTGTTCTTCGTCTTGTTCTGTAGACAGCTCCAACCATCTCGGGAGAATCAAATTTCTACTAAGCCGTCAAGCTCACTTTAACTGCCTACCAGCGCTGAACAAGCCTTGAAATAGCCGGAGTCGGTTTTGTATACTGTCCAAGTTTACACCCACACCCCCCCAATACTCTTCTCCGCGTGAGAATCATAGAATAACTAGACTCCGATTCCGGTCCAGTGTTGGTCCTCTCCTGTTTACATAGCCCTCCACGCCGGGTAAGATTTGAAATATACTTCTCCACAGTATCTCATCAAAGCACAGCGAGCCCAGCAACCCGTTAACAGGCTTATAGATGCCGAGTTGTATATAACTAGAGGATGGGGCAGGAAAACGACGGATAACTATTGTTCTGGCTTAATAAGCAACTCCCCAACTCCGCATCCGATATCGGCTATTCTGGACAGAAGGATGACTTATGCAATCTTCAAAGATGTAAATATAAAGGAATCATACACCCCGGGTTCGTTAAAGATGCAGCTAAAAGAAATATAATAAACAAAAATAAAAAATAAGGCCTACAGGAGCTAGCAGCGGAAAAAAGACTGGTAGATCCTGTTTCTCCTAGAATCTCGCAACTAACTGCGCACCAAGAGGAAGAGAATCATTTCAAGAAAAGATATTGAGAGATGGTACCAACGCAGGAAGTTTCTGGGCCGCAGAAAGATCACTGGTCGGCAGAGGTACGTCTCCTTGATAGTAGTATTCATCTGTTATAGCTTAACAATTTGGGAAGAAATAATCATTTTTTAACCCCCCAATCAGGCATATCACACTTCGGCTGCCTTTGTCCCAAAGCTCACACAGAAGGTGTTGCAATATCTTAACCCACAGCCAACAGACCGGGTGCTGGATATTGGATGTGGAGATGGGAAGTTCACCGGCAGTTTCATTCCACATGTGGGATCGGTGCTGGGCATCGACGCATCCGCTTCCATGATTAGCTCTGCCAAAGCGGATTATGGCAGCCCCAAGGCCGAATTTCGAGTTGTGGATTGTAGGTATTTGGACCGGGAGCTGGATATTGTCGAGAGGGCATGGGATAAAGTGTAAGAACTGTATTTTTTGCTCTTAGTACACCCATCGCCCATTGAGTGGTTAAAGACCGTTAAAAACTGATAAACAACTCAACAGGGTTTCTAATGCCGCACTTCACTGGATCCTGAGAGATGCATCCACAAGGGTGGGCGTGCTGGAAACAATATACTCCTGCCTCAAACCAAATGGGACCTTTGTATTCGAAATGGGGGGCCATGGGAATGTGCCTGAAGCCAACACCGCGCTGCTTGCCGCGGTGACCCATCAGGGAACTACGATCCAGCAAGCGCGCGCCGCAAACCCGTGGTTCTTTCCGTCTGAATCCTGGATGAGAGCGACCTTGGAGAAGATTGGCTTTCATATTGAGAAGCTAGAAGTCGAATATCGGCCCACTAAGCTTACCACTGACGTAGACGGCGGTATTGCCGGGTGGGTGCGCCTGATGGGATCCCAGATGCTGGATATTGTGGATGCGGACCGCCGCGAGGCTGCTGTTGAGGAGGTCTGTCAGTTACTTGAAACGGTCATCACAAGGGAAGAGAATGGTAGCAAGTGGTTGGGATATGTTCGTCTTCGAGGCGTTGCCGTGAGGAAGTAATGTGTTTGCTTGAAGTGTGGGTATCTTATTACAATCCTTAATTCTTACACAGGATTCGTCGCAAGGTATGTATTCGAGAGAGCTGGAAGTTTTTGACGGTGGGCGTTGAAGGTGACTTTAGAAGAGCGGCTTGGAAAATAAAGCGAAGGTGGGTGACCTGCTACGGGAGGACGCGATATGGAGAGGAGAGGTGAAGCCAAATAGGCCTCGAATGATATGAATGCAAGCAAATGCGGCAAATGAGGCTTGAGTTCATTTCAATATCAAAGCTTGGAATAATAAACTACAGGGCGCATTGAGGAAGGTCAACTGAAAACCGACTAGAAAAGTAAATGTTCTCGCATCCCTAGTCCGCCCTCCATTAAACTTGAGGAAAAAGAGCAGTTCTGAAATGAGATGGAGACAAAAGGGTAACAGAGAAGCAAGGAAGAGCCCAGTAAAAACAAAAGATGAAGAAAACTCCCACCCAAAGGGGGTATAATCCACATCACCAAGCGGATCCCCTCTAAACCCCACAGCAAAGGAAAAAGTAAAGAGATACGAAATTCCGAAACAACCCAAACCACCCTACCAATTGACAAGCCCATCAGCAAGTGAGGAGAACTGAACCTCACTCCAATAGCACAAAACCTCTCCATGAAAACACCATCGACGAATCGAGGGGTTTCCAGCAAAAAGGCAAATGCTGCGGAATAGGCAAAGAACACCCCTCATGCATCAGGAGCAAGTCAGCTGATAGACTGGTTCGGAATCATACCAGAAAACATCATATCCCCTCCCCACTCCCTTGCAAGTAGGAGATATAGGGGGTTCGATAATGTGGGCCATCCCCTCTTCGGTAGGCGGGGTTTTCCCTTCTTTCATTTCCCCCCGAGCTCCTCCTTACTGCTCTCTCTTTTATTGATATTGCGCTTTTTCTCGTGGACCAGCCACTGCCTGCGAGGGCGGTGGGTGGCCGTCGGAGAGACTTGTGATCTGCCGACCATGGGGATGAAAGGTTGGCAGACGTATGATTGCTCTGTTCTGGAGCAGCGCGTTGGTTGTCTCATGTTAGTCCGTTCAGAATGAATATGTTGAAGAAACCATATCAGCAGCGGCCCAAGAGATGAAAGGGGAGACGTGGAAGTAGGTTAGTAATAGAGCGAAATTTTTGGCTAGACGCTTGAAACTGGCTCAGTGGGGATGTAAATCAAGAGAGATGCGATTATAATACATGTTCGTCTAAAAATACATGGAGTGTGAAATTCGCACCCTCTAGACAATGAGGTGGTGCATCAACTGGTCTATATCGAAAAGTTTAGAACGCATATTCAAATAAGAGCGTAAGGGAAACTAGGACAACCGTAACCAAAAATGTAAGACATCGAAAGAAAATTTGTATGTATATACTTAAGCCGCGCCGGTAGCCGCACCTTGCTCCTCAGAACCGGCGGCATTGCCTTCTTCAGGACCCATGGACAGCTTTCTCACATCCCAACCATCAAAATCGGACCCATCTTTTTTCTCGCCTAGGAGACAGAATACCTGTCGTGATGCGTTAACGAGGTACTTCTGAGCGGTATTATTCACATCCTCAGCAGTTACATCAAGAACCTGCTCGCGCCAGCGCTGGTCCATCTCCTGAGTGACACCAGTCATGAAGTAGCGCTGGCCTTCTTCGTCAACGCTCATGGGAGCGTCAAGACCCTGGAAGATGCCGAGTTTCGCTTCATCAAGCTCCCGCGTCGTCCAGGATCTGTCTCGGGCGAAGATTCCAGAGTTATTGAATACTTTTAGTGAATTCATGGGGTTGGGGTCGCGGTAGCTTGAAAACCCAAAATAACCTTGGATGGGGGCACTGCTGGCGCCTGCTCCATATGCACCACCTTTCTCCCGTATTTCTTGGTGGAGATAGTTGTGAGTTAAGAGTTGGGAGAGTACACTGAGCGATGCACTAGACGGATCGGTGAATGTCGTTGTTGGAAGAGCAAGGCCGGAATAGGAGACTTTATACGGGAGGTTATAAAGCACTTTGGTGACGGATGGGTTAGGGATAAATCCTTCGGTTGTTGAGGGGGGGTTAAGATTGCGAGGGAGGCCAGAGAGCCAGCGCTGAAGAGTTTTTTCGTTCGCGCTGGCGCTTTCTGACTCGCAGACTACACGCACACGGAATTTCGAGGAATTCGAAATCGCGAATAATTGTATCAGCTGAAGTTTCCGAATTAGGTCTTGCAACCGTTCTGGTGAGGTTTCCGCATCATGTAGAAGCCTGGCGGTAGCCTGGACTTGTGCTAAGCCTGATAGTTGCTCGCTAGCCCAGAATTTCTTAGACAGACCCGAAGTCGCAACATTTATAGCATATCGGTGGCCTGTGCCCGCAATCGAATCAATAGCACCGTTGGTGGAAGATCGCAGCAATTCCTGGATCATCCGCGGAGCCACGGGGCTGCTGAAATCAGTCTCAGTTACTAGACTGGATATCATTTCAAGCATAGCCGAGAAGTTCTTGTCAAGCGAATAACCGGAGAATTGGAGCCCTTCAGCGTATCCGTCCAGTGATGTTGGAGACGATACAATGAAAGTGGAGGACGAAATACCACCAGATTTGAGTTTTATCAAATCCTCCCATTGCTCCATTGTTCGTCCGGCGGTGCCGAGTCGCATGACGCAGTCATTAAAGAGAGGTAGAAGCAACCGTAGCTCATCGGGGAGATTTTCAAATGCATTCATAGCCTGGAAGTAGGAGAGGCCATTTGTTGGGGCTTCCCTCCAAACAACGTCGACTTCACCTATTTTGGATTCCCGCACGGTTTTCCATTCCTTCGTTCTCGAAATATCTTTCACGTGGAGAGTTGGCAAGCAGCTTAAATCGGCATTCTGGGCTGCTTCCTGGACCTTCAATAACTCAAATTCTTCTTTCTTGAGTTGGTCAACGGCTTTTTCAAGAGAGCCTGCAGCTTCAGTCAATTCGGTCATCTTTCCCTCCTTTCGCACTACTTCTTTTTCGTCCAGTTCTTTATTATAAGTTGGTGATCCAGCCATCGTAAAAGTCATGGACTTATCAGTCATAAGATATTTTTTCATAAGTTGTTCCAGGTAGCCACCTTTCTCATAGCGTTGCTTGAATTCATTAATCACCTCATTCCAAGCTAGCTCTTTCATTGGATTGGAACCATTAAACCAGGATGATAGTGTCTTTTCCATGATTCCAATCCCGAAGTTGGCTGTCTTGTGTCTCAATGCAAGTTCCAGTTGGTGCAGGATGCCTTTCACTTTGTCATCGTTGAATCCTGCAGCCGAGAACTCCCGGAAAATCTTTTGTACCTTCTCCTTCACCATGGCGATGTCTTTTTCGGCAACTCCGTTCACACCAACTGAAAATATAGGAACTCTGCCAGAAGCATCAAGACCAGTGTTTGGTGTAAATGAGGATCCGATTTCGCTTTCGACTAGAGCCTTATGCATTGGTGAACCATATCCGTCAAGTAGTAGGGACGAAAGAATTCCCATCGAGAAGGTCTCCACGACGTTAGTGGAATCACCTGCAAACCAAGACACTGACGTTTTGAATTGCTTGTCCTCGCTGGTAAATGGGTCGATTGGACCTGGAATCGTGACGCTAAGGGGGCCGTCGTCTAAAGACAGTGGAAGTTTGACCTCTCGATCCGGAGTTGACTTTTCAAAGCCATCCAAGACACGCCCAACCTGTTGTAAATGATCCCCTAGAGGCATGTCCCCATACGTGAAAACTTTCGCATTGCTTGGATGGTAATTCTTTTTTGAAAAGTCGACCAGTTGCTTGTGAGTTAGATCTGTTATATACTGTGGGTCGCCGCCTGAGTTATTTATGGCAGGAAAGATCTGTTCCTTAAACTTAATATAGAATAAGTAATTGGCATCAGATACCTGCCCTTTCATCTCATTATAGACCACTCCTTTGAAAACAATATCATCTGCTGTGGCCGGGCTTTCATTGCCTTCTTTGTGAGCCAGGAACGCGCGAGGATCTTCAGGCCCTAGGCGCCATCCTTCTTGTCGAAAATCTTCTTCTTTCAACAAGGGGTGTAATGTGGCATCCAGGTAGACTGATAGTAGGTTCTGGAAGTCTTGTTTATTGGTTGTCGCAAATGGATACGTGGTATGATCAGACGAGGTGAAAGCGTTCATGAAGTTGGATAAAGAACGAGGCAGCATCTTGAAAAACGGGTCGCGAACAGGGTACCTAAACAGGACAACGTAATCAGCTGATAAATCCCACGAAACCGGAAAGGCTAAGATTGCTTACTTCTCACTGCCACATAGAGTGGTGTGCTCGAGGATATGCGGCACGCCGGTTGCGTCCGGGGGGTTCGTCTTGAACCCAATACCGAAGACATTATTCTTGTCATCTCTGGCCACATGGAGATAGTCTGCCTCTGTTTTATCATGTTTCAAGAGAACTGCGGTCAAATGAAGCTCCGGGACATGCTTCTTCTCCTTGACGGTGAAACCGTGAAGTTTCTCGCCAACTGCGGGATAGTTATCTAGCTGTGTGACGGTGGAAGCTAGTCTCTGACTCTTTCTAATCAAGTATCCGCGATTCGCTTTACTGCGCAAGGAGGAGAAAGTGGGACACCTCGACGAAGAGGTTCCATATTTCAAAAACGTGTTGGTTGATCGAAGCATATTGGCTGCGGGATAGCTGGCGGCGAAAAGAGCTACCCGAAAACTCGAATACCAGATAGGCGATTAATTCCCAACAATTATCTATCTATAACTGAATCATCGAATGAGTGTATAGATGCAAATAGAACCGCTCAACGATAGAGATGGCGTCTGGTAAAGAATCGTTCGGACGAAGTTCGTTCGGGAGCCAGAAACTTTGAGCGGCGCAAACTGGGGCGAAAACTCGTCGGGGGAGACGACTGGGTTCTATTTCCCTGAGAAACAAAATGAGAGAGAAACCGTAATACCAATGAAACAACACAAGAGCAGCCCCCCAATATTAGTTTGTAGCGTCGAAGGAAATGTAAATTTCCGGAGGTCACAGAGTCTGATGTTGCGCTGGGCGAGTTGAGGCGTCGTTTAGCCACAGCCACGGCCCAGATAGGCTTAGCGTTGTTTGGCCGGTGTGGCTTGTCCCCTCCTACGCCTTTTGAGCCAGAACTCGAACTGCTTCTCTGCCCAGTTACTACCTCCAAGGGCCTGCATCAGCCTGCTCGCCGGCCTCGTTTACACGCCCGGGAACTCGGAACTAGATATAGAGGTCTTCTTCTCTCACATATAGGTGTCGCGTCCCCTCTATACGTCCCCGTTTTGCGCTTCTGTCTCCCAGAGCGCCGTGTTGGCATTGAAAAATTCGCTGGGTGTGTCTCGGATGCGAGCACGGGACCTGGGATATAGTTCACCTGTCGACCTGTGTTGACGCTAGAGGCTAAGAAGCAGTTCTATCGGCGAATACCCTTGAAACTGCGAGGGCGTCGTTGGCTGTTTGCGTGGTGGTCCAGCTATGGCAGCTGCTGCTCCACATGTTCATCCAGGATACAACAGCTCTGGCGCATCCCACTCCGCTTCCTCCCATACAAACCATTCGAACTTCGTAAATAGGCACTCCGATAGCCCAGTTTCGTCAACTCATTCGGGATCTCCCCACCTAGCAATGGCCCCCACCACCATGGCAAAAAAAGCAAAGGGAAAGAAGCCCGCGGACCCCAGCGAAACGTCGAAGCTCTTGGCAGCCAAAATATCTCAACTCGAGCAAGATGCGGCTGGGGAAAAGGACCAAGAGGCTGAAATTGGTACGTTACTATAAAGGACTGTTCTATACCATAATTTTATTCCTGTTGGACAGGCCACTTCGGCGCGCTCACTGGAGGCCTGGACGCCTGGGGTAAGATGAGTTATTACTTACATATCTGTATTTCCCGATAGAACGAGAAGTCAAAAAAGCTACTCGTGATTTAAATCAGCTCTTGAACAATATAGAATCACCCATGACACGACTTGAGACTGTCCACAAAAAGTACACTGAGCTGCTTGCCGACATGAAGAAGCTCGATCGAGATTATGCGAAGAGTAAAAAACGAGCCGATCAGCTCCAGAAGGACCAGGATAAGGGGAAGTCGGAGCTTAGCAAGACTGCTACTATGAAGGATAAGCTTGAAAAGCTGTGTCGGGAGCTGACGAAGGAGAATAAGAAAGTCAAGGTGTGTTGGGAACCTATCCATATCGGGGCAAAAGAAAAATATCTGATGGAATGGATTATGGTTACAGGATGAGAACAAAAGGCTCGAAGAGATAGAGAAGAAAGCTCGCGGGGTCGTGAATGCACGACTTGACTCGTTACTTTTTGACATCCAGGACTTCGTTACAGCGCGGGGTGATGCTCGTGGAGAAAAAGCAGATATCGATTTAGATGACGCGTAAGTATATCACAGCTACCGTCATTAGTGACTTTCATGCGCATGTCTAACAGGTATTCTCAAGTCTCCGCGCGAAAATCAAAACCATTGGCGAAAAATTCGAAGCTCGGGAACAGCATTATAAAGCTCTGCTCCGCAGTAAGGATGCGGAAATTCAAAGTCTGACTGCCAAATACGAAGAGCAAAGGCGTGGAGCAGAGAGTGAGGCACAAAGATGTCGTGCTTTGAGCAGCCAAGTCTCAACGTTTTCACAAACTGAAGCCGAACTGCGAAGCCAACTCAACATCTATGTCGAAAAGTTCAAACAAGTGAGCTTCTCTCAGAGTTTTCCTATAATGTATGCCTGTATGACATTTAATAACGAACCAAACAGGTTGAGGATACGCTAAATAATAGCAACGAACTATTTTTGACCTTCCGCAAGGAAATGGAGGAAATGGCGAAGAAGACCAAGCGACTCGAAAAGGAAAACATGACGCTGACACGGAAGCACGAGCAGACCAACCGTAATATTTTAGAGATGGCGGAAGAACGAACTCGAAACAACGACGAGCTTGAGAAATGGCGCAAAAAGAGCAACAACCTTGAAGCTCTCTGTCGACGGATGCAGGAGCAGGGCAGAGGCCAAGCCCTTTCTGGCGAGCTTGATGCAGTGGACGACGAAGGGACGGAGAGTGAATACGATGACGAATATGAGGATGAAGAAGAAGATGAAGATTTAAGTGACGAGGGAGAATTTGACGATCATCATCACCATCACCACCATCACCATCATGCAGAACATCAACATCCACCAGCAAACCGAGCCCCTGACGGTAAGCCCTTTTTTGGACCACCGCCACCACCAGCGCTAGTAGAAACTAAATCTAATGGCCATCGTGGTGTTGTAAATGGATACAGGCATTAAAGAGGATGAAAAACAAAACAAAACGAAAAAGAGAAAAAAGAAAAAAGATGAAAAACACAGAAAAACACAAATATAGCAACGAAAGCTAGGAGAAAGGGTATCTATCTATATCTATCCCACCGCATGGCTGCTGTTCAATTAAGGAAGGGTACCTTGTTTTCTACTCATGCGTTGACATGGCAATTGATCAATTGGATAACGTTTCGGTATTTCCTTGGTGATATGGGGTAGTAGAGGGTCCTAATTCTGTTCCTCCCGCCACTTCATCATCTCTGCGACCCTATACCTCCTTTGCTTCTATTTCCTTTACCTGTTAGAGTTGCATCTTGTTGGTTGTTTGTCTATGTTCCGAATCCTCATATTTATTCAATGCCGTTCTTGTGTCCTACAACCATATTCAACTACACAACGTAGATGGAAAACTATCCTGCGAGTGACATTTTTAGCGAGTGCTAAAATGCCGACAATGCTGGTATAAAAATCCAAAGCGTGTATATGATGGGATGGTATCTCTCATGAGCTTTCAATTCCTGTTAAAGTAGGCGATCTGTTCGGTAGCCTCGCCGCCGAGTATAGAAATTAATTCTGTCACATCAAGCGCTCCTCCCTCGATAGTGTAATGAACAAATAAAACTCTTTCCATCATAATCACGAATATGGGTATAACTTGACTCTACCAACGACAATAAAAGCACGTATGATTTATTTACAAGGCCAAACCTACACCGGATACACACCGGATCGTAGCAGTCACAACTTACACCCAGTCCCCAAATACCCATTCCCAACCTTCAACATATGCACAGCCTCCTTCACCATCTCATCCACAATCTGGCCCGCAGGCTTAATATCCTTCACAGCAGCCGCAACATGCCCCATCAAAAACGGAATATCAACATCCTTCCCCTCATCGAAATCTTTCATAATAGGCACCACCCCATCATCCGTTAGCTTCTTAATCTCCTCCGGCTTCTCATGCCACGCCTTGATATAATCGTTCGGCAGCACCCGCAGCGGCCGCCCAGAGACAACAAGAGTGGTAACCGTATCTCCAAACCCAGCATTCAGCACAGCCTCCTTATGCATCTGGCTCGCCCCGCTCTCCACCGATGCCACAAAGCGCGTACCAACCCATACCCCCGCAGCACCCAGCATCAGCGACGCAGCCAGGCTACGGCCGTCATTGACACCTCCCGCAGCAACAACCAGCGCCGGCTGCCCTGTTAGCGGACTCTTGTACTTGCGCGCTACATCCGCGACGGCGGGGATTAGGACGGAGAAAGGCACGTCACCAGTATGCCCACCGCCCTCACCACCCTGCGCGCACACGATATCCACACCGGCCTCTAACGCCTTCTCCGCATGCCTAGGCGCGCCAACCATATTCATAATCAAGATGCCCGCCTCATGTAGTCTCTTGATCGTGCGCGCGGGCGGGACGCCGACGGCAGAAACAAACAGCTTCGCGCCATGCTTGATCGTAACCTCAATGAGCTCATCGAGCTTGCCCTCTGTGTAGTCGTGGTTTGTCTTGCGGGCGCCCTCGCCGACTTTGGGTAGGGCGAGGTCAACGCCGAAGGGCAGGTCGGGGCTTTTCAGGTGTGATTTTAGCTCTGTGAGCATCTCGTCGAGCTGGGCGGGGGTGTAGCCGAGTCCGCCGACGGTGCCTAGGCCGCCTGCGTTAGAGACGGCGGCGGCGAGCGGGCCGCCGGATGTACGGGCCATGCCAGCCAGGAGGACGGGATGTTGGATGCCCAGGAGGGTGGTGAGGGGGGTGGTTATTTGCGACATGTTGAATAGGATGGATTAAGAGGGGGAAGGTTAGGGAGGATTATCGGGCTTTTCGGAGGGAGGAGGGTGTATATATGTATTATGTATTTAGAGGATATGGTTGGGATATGAAGAGAAGCAAGTGAGAGCAGATAGTTTTTATCACCTGGGAATTAACGGAATATAAACTGAAAAAAGCCTCTGAGGCGGAGGTTTAATAGGAGAGAGCTGTAACTTGCCGAATTGACTTTTTTCCCAATTCCGAACAGAAAGGGATTTATTAGCTGATTAAAATAGGCAAAATCAATATTAAACGGGGCTGAAATTTCCCCTCTCGTCTTCTTATATATGCTTGCTTTAAGTGTCCTTTTCCAGTTGCGCAGTCTCTCCCGCATTTCTCCTCTCAAGAGCTGCACTTCCCCACAGTCTTGAGGAGTTGTTAGACCGCGGTTCACCGTTCGCCTGCAGTATTAAACTATCCTACACCGAGGCTAGGTTAGTTAGCTTGGTTCCAATATTCCCAGAAAGATGTTCCTCCAAACCAATCACACTAATCTTAGTCTGGAACAAAGAGAAGAGAAGTAGGCAACAAAGAGCCCTGCAACATGTACCCTAGCAATAATGTAAAAGAAACTCGCAGGAATCTCAATAAAAAAAGAAAACTATTTCAAAACCCAACAATATCCTGCAGGTAAATTTGCAGATTGGGAATAAATAGATAGGGCATGTGAGATCACCTGACCCGGCCCTCGGCTCGCTCGTGACGCCACTCTCCCGGGCCGAAAATGTGTGTCATGCTTATTTTATGCTGTACTATGTACGGAGTACTGTATATATCATTGCTACTGCTGTAAAATCCCTAAGAAACATCTTTTTAAACTCGTTCAACAGATTTCCATCATAAATTCGATATTGGTGCTTCCGTAGTATTGTTGAGTAGCTCCTGAGCAGAATCCGCAAATTGAAGTATTGAGCGAAGCTGGCGACGATATTGTCACACTCATTTGGAATGATGTGTACACCAGAAATTAAACATTAGCGCCTAATTCTAATTCTAATTATATTATTCTATATTCTAAATATTACAGGGTTTGTTCCCATTAGTAAAAATAGATAGATCCCACGGTGCGACAAGAAAACGAAAAGAAGCAAGCTCAAGCTTCGAACGACTCGTAAATAGTTCTACTATGTTTCTCCACATCCCTCATCAGTACCTCATGGAGAATCTCCTTCGCGACCTCAGCTGAATACAGAGCAACGCCAACCTCCTGGCTCGTATACCAGCTGGCACGATCCATATTCCCACTGCCCAAGAGAACCACCCTCTCATCAACAACAGTGAGCTTCAAATGTGATTTGACAAACGCACTTCCGCCCCCTAGATTACACCGACGGGAATTCGCGACATTCCATTCTCGAACCGTTAATTTACCCGGCTTCGTCGCATCCGTCGCGTCTGTTTCCTTCTTTCCCCACGCACACAGCACGCGTCTATGTGAATTCATCAGCGAATTTATGCAGCGGGCTGTCGTCGTCCCTGATGTGGCTAGCTGTTCCATCACCATGAGATTCATGTTCGTTACAACGGTGACCTTGACGCCCTGTTCCAGCGCTTGCACTAGCGCGTGCATCACAGGCTTCGCGGTAAGATTGGGCGTGATGATGTATATCTCGCTCTCGGCATTCGCAAACAGGAACTTGGTAAAGGCGTTCAGCGGCGTGCGCGGCTCCGATCTTGGTAAGCGGAAAATGCCCGGGCGGAAAGCCGGGTTTTGATGGTGCGATGATGGGAGAAAAAGAGTGTGCAGTTCTCTGTTTGCGGGGGTGTTGGGGAACGATTTTACGAGTTGACCGGCCGATTTGGCTGGTGGGTCTTTGAGAGGTGGGAGAGTTACATCTGCCGTGGCCGGGAATGTTGATATTCCTCCGACAGCTGCTCCGTGTGGCTGTTGCGCGTCGGGGTTCCAGACCTCTGTCCAGAATTTATGGAATTTCTCAACGATGCTGCGGCCTTTCAGGCGAAAGGCGCCTTCATACCATGACTCCCAGCTGACGTTGCAGCTAGGCAGCCAGACGAATTTCCGGTCGACGATGACGAATTTGGGATGCATGACGGAAAAGGGCCGGATGAAGATGGATTTGACGGTCAGATCTAGTCCGGGGATCTCTTGCGGGATTGGGAGTTTGAGCTGCTCGTTCCATTCTGTCGGGTTGTAAACATATCCAGCTGTGGATTCGGTATGTCGTAACTTCTGTAGGAGGGAAACTGATGAGAGACAAATGTAGACTTTGATATTTTCAACGGTAGTAGTATGTGGCGAAGCTGCTGCTCTTTTCTTGACGATCTTTTTGGACAGCATTCGGAGGGCTTCGCAGAGTCGTACTCGAGATTCAGACACGGTTGCCCAAAAGCAAGTCACGAAGACGACTTCCCGGTCCGCTGTCTCGATATCCGGACAAATGTAGTTGCTCAGGATATCTAATCCTGTCCCAGTGCAAAAGGATGGCTCCATTGAAGCTGCTGTTGCCGAGTCATTGAGGGACGACAGATCGTGACCCTCCAACGGGTCCGTTGCGACATGTTGACGCCATTTTTCAACAGAGTATGGCAAGTTGGCCATGTCACTTGTTTATTATATTCAGTGGAATATTTTCACCTAGTTTTGTAGAGCATATATAGAACTCGCGGTGGGTGTAGCTACAGCTGACAGCGAGCCCTGTGGTGCTTTCTGTCCCTTCAGCGAAGACCACGCGAAAAGAATAGCGAAGTATTTATCCTTTTTTAAAGTGTGGAAACAAAAGTACCCTCCTCCGTTTCATACAATTCGAAAATATTGTTAACCCCATTCTTTATCGCGTTGTATAGGCACTGAAAAGACACAGAATTCTGTTGTAATGTAATATCAAGTGTTGGCTATGATGTTGGAAGTTGCATGGAACCTTAATTTGGTGTTAGTTGGAACTAAATAAATCACCCCAAGCTTCCAGGCCTGTCTGTCTTCGTAAAAGATTGGTTGACAAGCCCTGAAAATAATACTGTCAATTTCTGATTCATTGTTGACATGAAACCTGGGTTTTCTAACTTGGATCTGTTGCTGGTACTACGCACTGAATGTTTTTTCTTCACTTGTCAATGATGGAAAAAAATACCAGGCCACTAGAATTTCATTCATAAATACTAGTTTTAGCTATATCCGTCTGGGACAAAATTGCTAGGAAACATGCCCCTGTCCACCAATCGTGGTAAACACGGCTTCTTTGACCCTGAATATCTCAGCTTTGTCATTCGCGTATCGAAAAACATGCCCTTTGTGACGGCGGCAAAAGATCCATTGCTTATGTTTTCCCTCGACACAACATATCACACCGTCCAAACTACCCATGAAAAGTCCATCGCGCTTCCAAGCTAGAGACCCCTTACCCTTGACGCCATACCCGATTCGCTATGTTAATGCATGAATAAAAGGGGGGATAAAGACAAAGGACTTGAAGCAGTTATGATACAAAGAAAGCCCGAGAGTAAAGAAAGCAGAAAGGAAAAAAGGCAAAGAAAAGGGGGGGAGATATTAAAATTAAAAGAAAAAAGAGAAGAAGAAACCATCACAACCTCTCAAATAGCACAATAATAAAACACACAAACACTGAAATCGCTAGCAATGTGAAATATACGGGTTTCTTCGTTGGCATTGGCTCTGTATCATGACCTTCTGATCCATACACTGGCGAAGGAGGGTCCCCAACCGCCCCTTCCGGAGCAGTTGCAAGCGACCCGGGTAGACTTCGCTGTTCGCGTACCGTTGGAAGTTGAACGGTGCTGATTGAATCTGATTGTTGTGTGATCGGTAGGGCAATGGTGAAGGCGACGATAGCGAGGAGGAGATATATGGTGGTGATGACGGAGAGGTTTGCACCTAATCCACCGCCACTGGAATGGGCGGACAAGCAAAGCTTCATTCTGGGGGATTTTTTGGGAGATTAATATGTATGCTTCTTATGGTTCGGGAGTGGGCTGGGTGAACTGTAGGCGCTGGTTTAGGAAGATATACGTTAGACAGTTGTCAGGTGTCATACTATAGGCATGGCTCACATACCGCTTATCAGGGGCGCAATATAGGGGATCGACTACGGATTAGATGGAAGTACACATGTAAAACAGTCTCTCGCCATTCGGCAGGAGATGGGATCGATTGACGCGTCGGGAAGAGGACATATTTTTCAGAACCATTGCAGTGCCATTGTTGCAGTTGTGTGTGTGTGTGTGAGAGAGAGAGAGAGTAAATGGGAAGGGGAGCAGAGTCGCCAGCCATATGCAGCAACCCTGAAGCGGGGAAGCAGCACGCTAAATAGCTGCAGGATCGGCGTTTGTGGTGGGCATTTTTTTGCTTGACCCGGGCTGGGATTATTCCAGCCTTCTAGGAGCAATAGTTAATTGCAAGCACTATCTAGGTAAGGAAAGCGAAAGTGACCCCTAAACACCGCTGAAGAAACCCCCGTTCTCTCCATTTCCAATTTGCCGGAGTTTGGGCCTCCCGAAGAACAGCTGCCCCTGTCCTGTGTACAGACTGGGCTGCTTATTTACTCCATACGTGCTCGCCGGTGATTAATTGGTCTCCTAAGTTTAGTCCCCGACAGCAATGCTAATCTCAGCAGTATGCCGGATCGACTCAGCGCTAAAGATGATAATTATATCTCCGCTAAACGCCGGCCTGAAATGCTCACTATGTAATAGAAGAATGAAACGTGAATTCTCCGCTCTTCCTTGCAGTGTCGTCGTCGTCTGAACATGTTCTAATTATTTTACCCCTGACGAGAAGGTTAAGTAGTTAATTGGGTTTTAGGGCCTACCAAGATTTAGGCGCATTGCCAGGTCCACTTGCGCCTCCAGGGTTGCGTATTTCCCCCTAAAATTAAGGATATGAAGTGGGCATGGGGTACGTACCCGGTATTCAGCAGCAGCCACCACAAATCGAACACATGCCATTGACACCTAAAGTAATACCCTGGACTTGAATAAAGGCATTGATCATGATGGTTACTATCCATGGATTATACATAAGAATACAGCCGCCGTTTCCAAGATAGATAGCGCGCTTATCGTGTCAAGATATAGCGGGTAGAGCACGTGCCACAAATCCCACTTATCATGTGATAGTTACTCAAAGTTGGCGCAGCCGCTAAACCAAAAACGCGTGGATAATTGGACGTCGCGTCGCTTTTGCCCTTCGGTGATATTATCTCCAAAACCAACGACGACGACGAATATTGAATCCCGCGGACGAACAGAGAAGCGTGCAGGCTTTACGTATCTCTTGATTGCTTTCCCATAGTCCAAGACTTCTTCCAGCAGATTGAGAAGATGACCCTAGACAATCCTGCGGAGCAATTTCTCCGCCCGCCAAGGTATGCCGTCCCTAACATGCTCCAACACGATAGCATAGCAGGTCGTAGGGCGGAGATAACTTTTTGAACGGGTTTTAAAACTGACACCTGATTCACGATAGTGATAATGAGGAATATGCACCAGTATATCGGCAGCCGTCGGCATATTCCCCGCTCTCTACCTTCGTCTTGCCACGGGGAGAAATGAGGCACTATCAGCAGCAATATGCTGACATTTACTTTTTGCGATTGGCGAGGTTGAAGCCTGCCGTTACAGAAATTGCGGTCGCTTCATGGGAAGGGTTTAATGTATGTTCATGTCATTTCTTTAATAAGGTTGGATTTCGGCTTTTCTCAGCGCCGGAGTTGAAATATCCCCCTTCATCAGAAAGAGCTAAGAGCTGGTATGTTTGCTATATTTTCCTAAAGTGTGCTAACTTGAGCCCCCTTGTATTAGATTGCAGGAGAGTATGCAAGGCGGGTAGACAGAGTGCTTGACGTACGGCAAGGCGAACTATGTTGGGTCGCTGGCACAATCTATATGGATCTTCCCTTGAAGCCTAACATTCTAGACGACATTTCAAAAGAAGTAAGCTAGTCAATATTTGGGAACTTGTTGCTACTTTCTCTTATATATATTCTCATGCTTTATATTCAATCTAACAATACAATTAGCACTGGACTGCAGCCCCTCCTAGTCGAAAAACATATGTTGATTCTTCGAATCAATCATTGACAAAGACCATGCTAGAGGATGAGTCAGGCCGTTTGCAACTGACCGGAACTTTACTACAATCATCTCTTCTCGTCACAGGCGCAATTGTTGCAGTCCTCGGCACGGAGAACGCCAATGGCGATTTTGAAGTCATCGATATTAAGGTACCCGATCTACCGCCTCAGCCCGAGCGTTGGGAGAGGTCATCTGCTCATCAAGAGCCTACTAAGCGGAAGCGCAGTTCTCTCGAAGAAAGTAGCGACGGAACTGAAGGGAAAAGAAAAAGGATAGCCCTAGTCAGCGGTCTTGGTATCACCGGCACTTCAGGAGACACACTGGCCTTGTCCCTCTTAACAGATTACCTTCTTGGATATAACGAGCCTCCCATTCAAACACACAACGGCAATAACCCTCCATCCTCGTCCCAAATAACCCGCCTCATAATTGCCGGAAATTCCCTTGGTGGTAGCATGATTATCCCTCATTCAGAAGCTGAAAAGGCGGACCCCGCCCTGGCGAAAAAGCGTCACGCCCCTAAAAAGTACGGTTACGATGCCACAGCTTACAACGCTTCGCCAATAAATCATTTCGATTCATTTCTCGCTGAGATTCTTCCAAGTATTCCCGTTACCCTTATGCCTGGCGAAACCGATCCCGCGAATTTCTCACTGCCCCAACAGGAAATTCACAGGGCAATGTTTCCCCGTTCAAAGGCCTATTGCTCTGCAGCGCGCCCAGGAGCGGCGGAGCAGGCCGCAGACCCAGGCTGGTTAGATAATGTCACGAATCCCTGGGAGGGCGAGGTGGAGGGCTGGCGATTTTGGGGATGCAGTGGACAGAATGTTGATGATGTGCTTCGCTATATAGATTTGGAGGCCGAAGGGGATATCATCCAGGGTAGTGAGAGTGACAAAGATGGTGAGGCGCGATTACAGCTAATGGAAACCATGCTAAGGTGGCGTTGCGCTGTACCCACCGCCCCTGATACGTTATGTACGTGTTTTTCATGTCTTTTCCTTCTAACCCCTCGTTATCTTCAACGTTTTTCCTTGTATCCCCTACGAAATTGAACTGGACTCATTAACCTGCTTTTACACTCCCAGGGTGCTATCCCTATCAATCCCACGACCCATTCACCCTCCAGGCCTGTCCGCACGTCTTTTTCGCAGGGAACCAACCAAGTTTCCGAACGGGAATTGTCGAAGGCTCCGCCGCCGCTCTCTCTTCTTCGGATAACGGTGAAGAGCAGAGTACCCGCGTACGCGTAATAGCGCTTCCGAAATTCAGCGAGACCGGCGAGATCGTACTTGTTGATGCGGAGACGTTGGAAGTGGAAGTTGTCAAGTTTGCTACCTTTGAGAAGGAGAGTGCGGAGAACCATCGTGATAGGGATGTGAAAATGGAGTAGGGTTGTATTGCTGGGGAGTATTTAACCATGTTTATGTGACTTTTAGCTATTGGAGGGAAGTATATTATTGCATATTTAGATATCACTTATGAGATGCAGCATGTCAGGTATGAATGCGAAGAGGGGCATAGCCACCGTAATTAAGCGTAGCGCGCTGGAACTTTCCCTCAATGAGAGTAGGCTGGAACTTGCATTAGTGACCGAGTTACAGCATCGATAGGTGAATTCTCCCTGTCCTAATTTCCCATTTTGGTAATCTCTCGACATCGTGGAACTCGGCGCCCTCAAGACACTGAGGCGTATGTACGGAGTACAGAAGGATAAATCATTGCTGACTCTTTTCCCCCTCTTTTTTTTTTTTTTTTTTTTGGCCCTCTAAATAACTAGTGGTTATGTGGCGCTGGTTAATTGGACAAGGTGACATGCTACGCTGCGTAGGGACGCTTTGGGTAGCATTGCAGGGTGGTTTTTCGCCAAATATGCCCGGAAGTAAGATAATCCGTTCCGTTCACTTTGTTTTGTTTACCACATTTCCTCCGCTTTCCAATTTGTAATTAAGCACATACAGCACTGTTGGGACATTACTATAAGATTATGACTTTAGAATGGATCCGAAAATACAAGAATTGTTAGCCGAACTCGAGCGAGAAAGAGCTGAACGTGAGCGAGAAAGAGCTGAACGTGAGCGAGAAAGAGCTGAACGTGAGCGAGAAAGAGCTGAACTTGATCAAGAAAGACAATGGCGTCAAGATGCGGAAGCTGAGGCGAGAAGCGAAAGAAGACGGCGTGAAGAAGAGCAACAACGACGTGAAGAAGCAGAAACTTTGGCTGCGAGCTCAGAGTCATCAACACTGCCTCTCTTTTTACATGCTTGCCATGAATTGTTAGTCGCGATCAAGATCGTGACTGACCCTACTCAAACAACTCAAGGCGTGGTAACGAGACCAACAAATCGGAGGGTTCCAACTCACATCACGTTGTGGGACACATTCAATGAGGAGCAAATGAAGGTGTGGCACAAGCTCAATCAGCATCCTCATTTCTTGACAGAAAAGCTCTTCCCCTCTCTACATCAGCTTGACTACGTCCGCCAACTTATCAGCCCAATTTCCTCGGAATGGGATCTTCGGTACTATGAACGGGAAACGGTAGAAAATCAAGTGCGGGCCATAATAGACCGAATATATGAGAATGACGAGCTTAAGAGAGCATTCGGCTTGCGCGGATCGATTACCTTTGACAGCCATCTTAACCTTGGGCTTTCAGTGCGGGCGGCTGATTTGAACCCGGGTGATCAGCAGTCATCTATTGAATCCATGGTTGGGACTGAATCAAGTACTGGAAAGAGAATGGGCAAGAAGAATAAAGCAAAGAAAAAGGAGACCACAATGGTCACAGGAGGACAGGCAGATCGATTCTGCATCTATCGCCAGGATGGTGATGAGCACATCCCGGCGCTCGCTATTGAGTACAAGGCACCCCACAAGCTCACTCGGAATGAAATTGTGAGAGGGCTGGCTCAGGACATTCATCCTTCCAAAGAAGTAATTGGTAAGGACTCAGATGATCCTGATTTCTACTCAAAGCGGTTAGTCGCTGCTGTCATCACACAGTTGTTCTCCTACATGGTTGCCAAGGGAGTCCGGTACGGCTATGTGTGCACTGGAGAAGCCTTTATCTTTCTACACATTCTTGATGATCCGTCATCTGTCATGTGTTCTGTCTGTACTCCCAGCCAAGATGTTCAAGAAATCAACGATGACAGTCTCCATTTAACTGCCGTCGCTCAGGTACTATCATTTACCTTAAGAGCTCTAGTGTCCCCTCCTGTCCTGCAAGAATGGTATGATGCTGTCACAGAACTTGGCATCTGGCCGGTTGAATACTCGGATATCCTGGAGCAAACACCTCCAACTGCTCGGCAGAAGAATGTCTCACCTCTGTATCGGGGCCGACGCCCTACCAAGCTTTCTCCTTTTCAGATGACATTACGACCCAGATGCCGGCCACACACAGATATTGTACCTCGATCGAGAAGCCCTTCCCCCTCAATATCTCCATCTCCATCTCCATTGTCACCATCCACACGTCATGGACGAACTGTAAACGCTCAAGCCCGCTCTAACCCAGATCAAAAATCTGGTAAGAAAGGGCAATCCAACAAAGACAGTGATGTGAATTGGATAGATCATGCTGCTGAATCACCAAAGATCAAAAGCCAACCTTACTGTTCTCAGCAGTGCTTGCTGGCTCTACGAGACAATGGTCCGCTTGACACCTCCTGCCCGAACTATCTAGCTCACCTTAAGCCACAGATCCAGCCAGCGGAGTTTCGTGCTCTTATCCAAGAGCAGCTCTCCAGGGACCGTGGCCCGGATGCCAACTGTCGCCCTCTCTACAAGAAGGGAAGTTGTGGAGCAGCTTTTAAAATCCGTCTTTCATCGCATGGCTACACTCTACTCGCAAAGGGCGTCGAACGCAACAATTCACATAAACTTGAACATGAAAATGAAGTATACCATAGGCTTCACAATATTCAAGGAAACTATGTTCCTGTTTGTCTCGGAATTGTCGTGCTTGACCCAAAATACCCATATTACTATGACGAGGGAGTTTATACTCATATGCTCCTTTTGAGCTGGGCGGGAAAGCCCATCTTGGAAATTATGAAATTGGATAATTCAGCATGCGTGATTGAGATGACATCACAGTCTCTTCAAGCAATTCACCTTGCAGGTGTACTGCACCGTGATGTCGAGCCACGAAATATTTTATGGAATGAGGACTGCAATCGCCCTATGCTTGTAGATTTTGAACGAGCTGAGATGCACAATGCGCTATCTGCGATATCACCGAACCTCAGACTAAAGAGGAAAAGGCTTGGGAAGAACAGATCTACCTTTTCTAAAGAACTTTCGAAAGCTCAGAGCAGCCTGGAGCGGTGTAGGGAATTGCTCCGTCAGAATTCCACCTCAAAGTTCAAGGAATAGCGCCATGGAACTCAGTTGGACAACTATACACGAAGAGCCGATACGATAATGACTATTGCTGCCATCACGTGTTCTCGTGCTCTTGCTCAGGCGCTCATCTCGAAAAGCCTCAATGTATGTACTAGAGAAAGAGCCAAGGATTGATTGGTCTCATGAGCTCTAGATACTTCCTGCGGAATCCTTGAGAGTAAATCCTTTCCTTTTTTCCTACAAGTATTGTTTACTGTTTTGTTTTCTTTTAAAAGAGATATAATGATATTCAATTCTTTTTCTTTTCTTTTCCTTTTTTTTGTATCTAAGAATTCATTAGATAGCAAAAAATCAGATTATTATCAATTCTTCAAGTCTTTTATATTGAAAACCTCTGAAATTCTTACAGCAGCTAGTCTATAATGTAATTCTTGAGATCTGTGAAGCTTGTAAAGCTTATATCAAGTTCTTCTATAGTTAACTTAATTTGTTATTCTGTTTCTATTTCTGCAGATAAGAAATTAGAAAGAGAAGATTAGAAAATAGAAGAGAATTAAAATAAAGTTCTCTAATATACTGAAAGAATAGTATAGTGAGAATAATAATATTTTAAAAGAGTTGAATATACAGGAGTAATTCTGAGTATTCTATTGCTTGAAGAAAATGAGTAAATCATTTGTGACTTTTTGAAGGTCATTCATTCTCAACTTCAAACTGGTCATGAAAATTTGATAACCTTTCACATTTCAATCCCTTAAGTGGGCAAAACATATCATATACACATATGTATGTACATTAAAGGAACTTTTGAAAAGAACTTTTATCTGTTTCTTATAGGGATTCATTATGTTCATCAACGAAAAGACCGGTACGTACGTCATGGCATTAATCTATAGCCCTGTCTGCCCACCCACAGGCAGACCTTGGGCAGTTCTCAATGTTTGGGAATTTAACAATCTCTGATCTATTCAACTTGCTACCCAAACTGACAAAAACCTTATAGCCCTCTCTTCTTCCCGCGTCCTGCTGGTCCCATACTGCAAACACCATGTGCCGCGCTACCATGAGTGGATGAAGGATCTGGTACGTATATGCAACATACAGTGTACATATTCTCAATATATTTACTTCAGTACACATGTCTACGGATACATAATGTACACGTACATACGGAGTATAGCATATAACGATTTCTTCCACTTTTCTATCAGTAACACCTTGTCAAAAATAAATAAATAATACAAACCTAGGAAATCCAACAAGCCACCGCCTCCGAACCCTTAGCCCTCGAAGAGGAATATGCCATGCAAGCCAGCTGGCGTACCGACGCGGATAAATTAACCTTTATAATCTGCCTACCGGTCCATGAAACATTTTCTTTATCACCATCCGCATTACCAGCTCGGATTGCTACAGACATCAACGTCAGCCCGCCCGCAGAGTCATCAGGTACTACGAGAGCACTCGCTGACCCATGTTTGGATGCCCCAGAGTCAATGCTGGGAGACGTGAATCTGTTTTTGAGATTAGATGAGGAGGGCGAGGAGGAGGGTGGCAACGACCATGGTATTGTTTCTGCTGCCAACCGCGGCGGCGCAAGAGTCGTTGGCGAAATAGAACTTATGATTGCAGAGAAAGCGAAGCAGGGTAAAGGGTTTGGAAAGGCAGGGCTGGTATGTTTTTTGAAGTATATTGCGGATCATGAGAGGGACATTGTGAGGGGGTTTGTTTCTTCCTTACCGTCGTCCTCTGCGCCTGTTTCTGGCGGTGTGTCTTGCGGTCATACTGCCGATGATGCGAGACGGGATGAGGCGCAAGTAGGAAAAGTGGTAGGGGAGAAGCTAGCATATCTGTCCGCTAAGATTGGAGCGGATAATGTGCGGAGTTTAGCCTTGTTTGAGAGCTTGGGGTTTAGGAAGGTGTCTGATAAGCCGAATGTGTTTGGGGAGGTGGAGTTAAGGAGGGAAGGTTTCAGGGGGATTGAAGGGGGGGAGTTGTTGAGAAGGTGTGGGGTGGAGGAATGCACTGAGATGAGATATGAGCGGTGATGGGGCGATTAGGGTTCTTACGGTCACTTCAAAGGTTTCTTAAGAGAGAAATATAGACAAAGTGAGCCAGTGGGCTTCACGACGATGTTAATATTGGCATGATATCAATGAGATCGCGAATCGCTTTAGACAGCAATAACTGTATATACGGAAGATGGCCTGACAGGCGCAGGTGTTCCAGAGGCCTTGTCAATGGCAAGAAGAAGCATCCCCAAATGAGGTCATCCGGGTTAATGTCAAGTACGACTAAATGGCATCAGCCAGTGTTACACCGACAGGCATTCCACGAGCTCATAAAATGAGAAGTAAATAGATAAAAGAGGTATATAAAGAGGCAAAATTTTATAAGAAACCATGGGCTCTGAGCATATCATTCGTTCGATATTGGAGTCATTCACTGACTACATCAACTCCCAAAAAAGCACTTAGGTAGTAGGTGGAGCTTTTCTTCAAGACAATGGTTTTGCCATGTCGACATGAAGAAAAGAAGTAAGAAACCTCACAGCACCCTGGCTTCCGTTGACAACTTTGCTTTCGTTGAGCGGGGCTATCATCTCCATTTTGAGAGTTTCGTCCTTTCCGAAAGAAGAGAATGAGATAAACGTATATTCACACGGTCAATGCCAAATGGATATATCCCCCCAGTTTACCGTTGAAAAAAGTCGTGTATTCGATGGAAGGTTTGTTATTCATTGTTTTTGTTCAAATATTATATTTTATATTTATTTAAAAGTCCCCTCAGCAACACCGCTCCCTTCTTCATTAAACCCCGAAAACCATTCGTCTAGGTGGACTTCTTGCTGCCCTTGGAGACATCGGCGATTTTGAGGGCTATACCGTCATGGTGGCACATTGTTAGCTCTTGTATTCTCGAATCATGATCCCAAAAATCCTTAATCATCCCGACTTTATATTCCCTGCAGAACCTCCCGACGCAACAAGAAATCAAGAAAAAGGAAGTGGGAAACGGAGACCGCAACGTACAGGGTGGTAGACTCTGCTTGAGCTTGTCTGCCTTGTCGGAATCCTTCAGGACGAGGGTGTAGATGAATCGTTGGCACCGGACCTTGAACTTGATCTGGGAAGTCTTGCGGTTGCGCTTGATACGGGCAGCTATATTTCAAAAGTAGGCAAAAACATCTCCAAAGTCAGCATATGACTTATTCAACTCCATCATTATTGCATTCCATGAATCTCCTCCCATAAATTGTATTTTCTCCCAACACAGCTCCCGTCTCCTATCTGCCTGCAATTGCTAGCTTCATTGGGGTAGGGAAGGGAGGGGGTGGACAGACATGAAGCATCCTTCCGCCGGCAGATCTCAATGAACTGCTTGATATCTGAGACTTCGCTAGGCATGGTGGGCGGTGTGAATTGGTGAGTAGAGGTTGGATATGGGAGATGGAGGTGGGACGTCGGTCAGTCTGATGATATCAAGTTTCGCTGTCGCAAATCAAAGCTTCACTTCTCCTCTCAAGCCTGGGCTCAGCTTGCTCCGATTGTGCGTGCGGTGTAGATTGATTAGGGCTCGATTGATTAGGGTTGCAGGACGGCCTAATGTGGTAGGTAGGCCCATGCATGAGGCTTGGCATTGGATGGATCTGATTATGTAAGAATATTAGGCGACGCTGTTTTGATAGGGGGAATGTGTCCTTGTTAATCGATATACCTTTACTACCTTATAAGTCAAGATTATACATAAGAAAATATAGTTGCCAAGATGCCTACTCCGTTGGATAAAGCTTTGAATTCAAAGGTACAGCTACTGAAATACATATTAGCAAACTATTATTATAATCCAGTATGTATCCATGCTAATTCCCACTGCTCGATAGAATCTATTCCTTGGTAAATGCAAACAATAAAATAAATCATTCCACGGCTGTTTAGCTGACTGTATTTGCAGGATTCGCAGGTCTTGTAACAGCGGCGGCAGCATGGACGATCTGGGGTGGCGATATGTTTCCCGCAGAACCAGACCCAACAGGAAGTATGTTGTTTTCCAATCCCAGATATCCACAGGTCCTTCTTTTCACTCAACCCTTGCTAACCCATCTTTCAAGACCCAGAAAACTGGTCAATAGAGGAACTGAGACGGTGGCTTAGTTCGGTATGTGCTGGTCCAATTTAAGCCGTTTCCCCCGCCCCAAAAGGCCCCAGGTAAATTTATGCGGGTAAGAATTTCTCATCTGACGTAACCAATCCATCCCCACAGCGCGGTCTCCTGCCAAGTTCGACTGCGTCAAGAGAGGATCTGGTCGAACGCGTGAAGGCGAATTTGAGACATCCGAGAAAATAGTGTTGGTGGTTGGCCTAGATATACCTTATGTTGATTCGTTTCCCTTTCCCGTCGGATATGGCGCTAGTATTGCATTGTATATTCAGTTCGAGCAGGCCGTCGGGGTAAATTCCTAGTCCAACATGCCTCCTCTTGTATTCCTTTCAAATAATCCCAGCTGTCTTGCATGTTAGAAAGTTCATATATCGTCCCAGCCATGGACGGTCAACAAGCTCTTCCCAAAATATAAGCTCTTCAGATATTCACAGTCTCCTCTTCTCCCATTCCTATAAACGTCTCACACAACCAACCTAAAATTCTGACTCTGGATCAACCAATGTTTCTTCCCCCTAGCCTGCAAGCCCCCAGCATCAGCCTGTGTATTCGGTACCAGAACAAACGTTTCACTAAATCCCCGATTTGACAAGTCTCCCGGGCCCCTCTCCTCCCCAAACCTCACAGACCCATTCACAATCACCAGGATTGACATATTCCTTGCCGCTGCGGAGCTCGATAATGGCTTTGCGCTGGCTGTTGCGGTGGATGATGCCGCAGGAATCGCGGGATAATTCGTGTTGATGATTTGGCAGTCGTATGAGTGTACCTCGTAGTGTGCGGGTGGCATTTGGTTTGCGAAGATTTCTTGTACGGAGGACCCATATGCGACGACGTTGCCGTTGAAGAGGATTTTGCAGAGAGTTGGGGCGGGGGCGTAGTACGAGGCGATGGTGTTTCGCGCGGATTGGAGGGCGGGGTAGAAGGATTGGACGAAGTCTGAGGCGGCTGTTTTTGCGAGGTTAGATGCGGGAACATGGAATACTCTGGTATTTTACATATTTAAGAGACGTACCCTCCGTAGATATCTTAGTGAGGGTATCCTCCGTCACTTGCGCCATGGTAGAGGTGGTGGGTGTGTTGATTGACTTGCAGTTTGGCAAAAATGCAGGAGGTAAAAACAAGTAAATGTGCAGCTCTCACGAGCTTCTAGTAGAACAGGCCTTTGCCAATATCTAGCCGTACGCAGTAGACAGCAGTGTTGACTATGTTGATTGTTAAGGATGCCTTGACAATAAAATATAGGACGTGGTGTCAAAGGAAAATATTTGTTTCGGGGTTGTTCTAGAAGCTCGGACCACGTGCTCGTTTCCCGGAACTCAACTTTCTCGCCGCAACTCGCTGTTCAAGTTGCATCCCAGCTCACAAAAGCCCAGGCAATTATGCTAGACTTCGGGCTTCGCGCTATTTCCCGAGCGGCGAGGTTTACAAAGCCAACAAACAGGCGCCCGTGGATATGTTCACCATGCAGAAATTCGTTCCGTCGGAGACCGCAATGGCGGGCTCTCAGCACAGCACCGTCACAGGCTGCCGATAAGAAGCCATTTTATGTCACGACGCCTATATTCTACGTCAATGCCGGTGAGATTTGGCTATTCCTTTGTTTCTCCAATTAGTTGTTCAATTGGGTACATAGAAAGATACTAACTGGTTTTCTTTTTTTTCTTTTGTTGCGCGTAGCTCCGCATGTGGGCCACCTATATACCATGATAGTCGCAGATGTGTTGAAACGGTGGCAGATTCTATTGGGTAATACGGATGCAAAGCTCCTTACGGGTACGGATGAGCATGGGTTGAAGGTATGATTGATTGGGATCGGATATGGCGTAATTTAGACACAGCGCTCATTGGAAATTTTGGGGTATAGATTCAACAAGCGGCGGCCGCACTCGGGATGACACCGCAAGAGCTATGCGATCAGAACTGCCTGACGTTTAAGGTATGATAGCCAATCCGAAGAACGTTGTTTGGGGAAATCGTGATGGCAATTTCCTTCTAACAAGATTGAAGAATCTTGCTAGAAAAGGAAATGTGGAGTACGACCATTTTATACGGACGACGGACGCCGAGCATAAGGAGGCAGTGCGCTACTTTTGGGTATGTGGAGTGCGATATCTCAAATCCCATATGAAATGGCAATATTGACTTCTGAGTAGGACATGCTCAACCACCGGGGCTATATATACACGTCGAAGCACGAAGGATGGTATTCCGTCAGTGACGAAGCATTCTATCCTCCCTCAGCAGTCCAGCCGACCCTTGACCCGTCAACAGGACGGAAAATAATTGTGCGTTTCCTCCTTGTCAGTTTCAATGGTTGCCCCTAGCTAACATTCTATCCTTCCCATAGACGTCTGTTGAAACCGGGAAAGAAGTCCAGTGGACGTCAGAGGAGAATTATCATTTCCGGTTATCGGCGTTCAAGGAGCCATTGCTTGAGCATTTCAGGAAGAATCCCGGGTTCATCACGCCGAGAAACTACATGGATGGAATTGTAAGCGACGTCTCGTCGGGACTACAGGATTTATCGATTTCGAGACCCGCCAGTCGGTTGAAGTGGGGAATTCCAGTGCCTTATGACGAGTCTCAAGTCATTTACGTCTGGTTGGATGCGCTGGTGAACTACATAACATATGCAGGATACCCCTTCCCCCATGGTTCTAAATCGATTTGGCCGGCAAATGTGCATGTAGTTGGCAAAGATATACTGCGGTGAGTGGAATCGATCACGGACTCAGCCCCCAGCGTCCACAAATAGACGTATTGCAAAAAAAACTAATACTCGTTTCGGAGCAGATTCCATTGCATATATTGGCCCGCATTCCTGATGGCATTAGACCTTCCACTCCCTCGCCAAATCCTAGCACACGGTCACTGGACAATTAACCATGAGAAAATGTCCAAGTCCACTGGCAACGTGGTCAATCCGAACTTTGCCATTGAACGATTCGGCATCGACACGATGCGCTTCTACCTCACGATTGACGGCGCTCAGTCCTCTGATTCGGACTATGAAAACTCCTATATCATCGAACGGTACAAGAAGGGCTTGCAGTGGGGCATCGGAAACCTTACGAGTCGGCTTCTGCGGGGGAAGAAGTGGAATGTCAGAGACAGTATTGTCATGGCGACTGAGGGCCAGTTGACAAGGGATAAACATCACGATCTTCTTGAGATGATACCGGAGCGAGTGAAAGCGGAGATGGAGCAGCTTGACCCGCGCAGGGCGCTGAATAGTATTATGGAAATTATATACCAGGTGCAAAGCATCTCCAATCCCTCTTCCATTCCTTTTCTATATTTTTTTCCTCCTTTCTTTCCCTACCCGAAGTACTAACCACAGTATCCATGCAACCCATCCAGACAAACAAATACTTCCACGAAATGCAACCATGGTCCCTCGTGAAAAACCCCAGCGCCGACAACCCCAACCAACTAAACGATGTACTATACACAACTGCAGAATCGCTCCGCATAGCCGGCATCCTCTTGCAACCTTTCATGCCGCAGAAATCCTTGGAGTTGCTGGACATGCTCGGTGTTGCGGAAGTTGAGAAGCGCAATTTCAACGCTGCCAAGCTCGGAGCGGACCGTGATTACGGAGTTCCCCTTGTGGATCTCAAAGAGGGGACAACCGGCACCTTGTTCCCTCCGCTTATAAGCGAGGCGTGAGTGGCGGTGATAGGCGATCTTCTGATCAATACGATGGATTAACACTCGGAGTTGAATGAATGAAAAATGAAAAATGAAAAGAAAAGAAACCAGGTGATTAGGGAGACAAGAAAAAAAAAAGTAAAGAAAAGGCAAAATGCCAATGGTTTCTTATGCGCATGTGATCCAAAACCGTTGAGCCTCAGCCCAGGTCTAGAACGGTCGGACAGACATCATCTTCCCCAGGCGGAAAAAAAATCCTCGAAGTTTTGAATATGGTGACAATCCTTGATTGCTACTACTATGGTGATTGCGACGCTTTTCCACTTTCGACTCCTCGGTCTAGCTCTTCTGTATAGAGTACAGATACCCCAGGGAAACAATCCCCTCATGCTTGGCTTGGTTGTATGTGCAGTACAAGGCTCCCGGCTGGAACGTGGCCGCCGATTCAGTTTTACGCGATCCACGGCCAAACCATATGCCTGCATCTGAAACCCCCTTCCTACTTTGTATCATATTATTCTACTCTAGATATACTTGCCTGCTTGCTGTCAGTCAAATCCATTACGTAAATCAGAAGAAATGCTCGCTCAAACTAAATCACTATGGCCCATCATTCTCTCAGCCGATTTCATTCAAGAGAAACAACTCCTTTTCCTTTGGAATCGATGTGTCTTGATATAGTACATTGTATGTATGTACTATACATACATGTGGCAGGTCTGCACAGATTCCAGTGCCGGCAATCAACAATTAGGAACCCATCCGGCAGTCAAGCCGGTTCGGAAAACACTTGCCGAGCAGTAACTTTCCGCGGGAAACTTTAATCCGACCACCCCACCCCCCGACGTTCTACAACTATGTCGCCTAGAACGCCGCCGGTTGGGTTGCCCGCGATGTTCTTTGTTTCGCTGGGGAAGTTCTGCCTCAACAGGGAAAGGACAATTACAATAATAATGCCACAGCACAGCAAGAGATGTCGCTCTCAAGTAAAGTAGCATACGCAGTACAGTAACTAGTAAAATACCCACTCGCACGTCATCATGATGTCTTGGATATGCGGGTGGTAGTACTGTACATGTAGTTACTGTACGATATGTACGTGACTAGGGGAATTTCTCACAACCTCCGCCCGGACTCTGTACCGGACTTGACTCTGTACATGGACTGTACATACATACAAGTGATGAATGAGAGAAGCCACCAAGTAACTATACCTACATCCATTTGCGTCGCAATTGTGCGGAATACCATCCTCTGTTCTGTCAACAATACTGCTGTTAGATTAGATGAGAGAAAATCTTATATTAAAAGGGAATATATGATGCATAGGGAGTGAAAATAAACAGGGGAGGGATGTATGTACATGTACTTCTAGGGTCCTCTGCCCTGTTTTCTAGCTACTTTATTTGCCCGGGGGACGGGGGGATTTAAAACATCTAGAGTGGGAAAGTGACTATATGGGGATCAGGTGGATGCAACGCTCAGGCGAAAAACGGGAAACTCAATCCCCAGTGAAGGCAAAAGAAGATACGAAAAGAGATCGGACTATAAATAAATCCAGGAGTACCTGCTGCGGGATGTGTCCAGTCAGATTCGGTCCCTAGTTTTGTCACGATCTTCGCCTTGTTCCCGGATTCGGAGAAGGTAAAAAAGGACGCCTACAACATCCGAGCTAAGACCAAAAGAGATACATACCATCAATCCCCCATCCTATATCTATAGTCCTTTCCAAGGCTCCCATTTTTTCATTTTAAACTTTGAGAAATAAAATATACTTTACGACCTGTGATACCTGACTCATCGTTATCGTCCCATACATCATTTATAGATATAGATATATCCTACATCTCTCCTATCCATCTGCTAGAAAAGCTCGTATTTTGCAACGAGCAAACCGAGCAAATCAACCACATACCTACCTATCCTCAAGATGGGAAGCTACGGGGAACCAATCCATGAAGAATTCCACTCCAGGTCTAGGGTATTGGACCCAAAATCACAACCAAAGCCATGGAGGGAAACACCCCTGATTGAATCCGAGCCACTGTCAAAGCTGGCAGGATGGTAAGCCCACCCTACTCGCAATCCCGACAACACTTCTAATTTATGAACGGGGTTCTCAATACTAACAAATGCCAGCCGCATATTCCTCAAGCTCGAAAACATGCAGCCAGGCGGTTCCTTCAAATCACGGTCAGTAGTAGCTCATGAGCCACCCAACACATATTCCCCCACCCCATACATATGTACAGTACTGACACCCATATCTTCAGCGCAATGGGCAACCTAATCCTCCATCACCTCTCGCGCCCCGCCAACCAGAACAAAAACCTCCACTTCTTCATCCCCTCCGGCGGAAACGCGGGCATCGCCGCGGTCACCGCCGCCCGCGCCCTCGGGTATCCTTGCACAGTCGTCGTCCCCGTCTACACTAAGCAAATGATGCTGCAGCGCCTGCAGGCCGCGGGCGCCATTACCGTACCGCACGGCGATACCATCGACGCCGCCGCGACGTACATGCGCAATGTGCTCATGGGCCAGATGCGCGGTGCTATCGGCGATGACGGGCGCGAGGTTGTGGCGGTTGAGTTGCATCCGTTTGACCATGAGGCGGCGTGGGAGGGGGTGAGTTCGCTGGTGGAGGAGTTGGCGGCGCAGATGCCGCCGGAGGACGACGGGGATGCGGTGGGCGGCGGCGGACGGCCCTTCCCCGTCGACGGGATTGTATGCAGTGTTGGTGGGGGCGGGTTGATGAATGGCATCATGCTGGGGATTGAGCGGGAGTTGCGCCGGGCGGAGGATCGCGGCGTTGTCGATCCCAGTCGTGGGAAGGACGTGCATATCCTCGCGCTGGAGACGAGGGGGGCTGAGTCCCTTGCGAAAGCGGTCGAGAAGCGCTCGCTCGTTACCTTGCCGGCTGTTTCCTCCCAGGCCACGTCGCTGGCGGCTATCCAGGTTGCGGAGCGAACGTTAAAGAATGTCCTGTACCCGCCTGAGGGGATGAAAGCGCACAGCTTTGTTATGGATGATGCGGACGCGGCGAGAGGGGTTTTGAGACTTGTTGATGAGCATCGTTTGCTGGTTGAGCTGGCTTGTGGGTTGTGTGTGGAGGGCATTGTGCCGGTTGCGACAAATCAGGGGGTGAATGGTCATGCCAATGGAGGACCTGTGGGTGGTGGTGCTCTATCATCTAAACTCGCGCAGGTTATTCCGGGATTCGGGCCTGAGAGCCGTGTCGTTGTCATTGTTTGCGGGGGAAGTAATATTACCGTTGAGGTGGCCGCAGAATATAGGGAGCGGCTGAATAATGGATGGGGGTCGGGGAGTGGGTGAATTAACTTTTTTTCCCCGTCTCTTTTCTTTTGCTTTTTTGAATGTAAAGGTCTTAGCACTGGGAACTAGGCATCAGGGAGTATAAACGGCGTATCTGTTTTGCTTTGGCTTTACGTTTTAGTTCAGAGAAGCAAATCGAGTGCCACTCTTTTGGGCAGAGAGCCCCCAGGATAGAATACAGAAATGTTGCAAATAACCCAGGCCTCGGCCCAATGTGAATGAGCCAGTTTATTTAATTTGATTTTTCATATCTCCCTGTCATAATATGTCATTTTGTTCGCATACCTGAGTTGCAATGTAGTGGGATCGCTTATTGACAACAGTCGTTATCGAAAACAAACCTAGCTTCCCTGGACACATCCAGATGTATGTCAAATATCCGAAGGCTGCATCCTACAACAGAGTCATCTCAAGCGACTGCCACAGACTCCCCATCCAGCATGCGAATGCGATAATCCCAATAATTCTTGCGGATCGGGTCATACTTATCCTTCAATAGTGTAAGCATCCTAACCGCTTCGGCCTTCCTCGCCTTCTCTTCCTCCGCGTCCTTTTCTTCCGCTTCCTCGACATATACATCCGCCAACCACTCCACAGCTAAACTGCTCTTAACCTGACACTTAACAACAGACCCCTCGCTATCTACCTCTTCCAAAATAAACTTCGCCGCAAACCCCTTAAGCTCCGCTAACGGCCTACCAGCAGCCCGCAACACTCCACGTGCATAGGCCCAGGGGCTCTTGTTTTCTGGCGCAAGAAGGATTTTGTCCTTGGCATACTCGAGTTCAGCGTCGATGAGCTCTTCATCCACCACGTCGAGGCTTCCCTTGGGGCCGTGCTTGTCGACGACACCTACTGGCATGCCGCTATCGACGTCGCCCCGCGGACCGAATTTTAGGGTCCACCGGTGGTTCCAAGCAGAGTTGTTGCGAACGTCTTGGTCGATCAGTGTTTCGACGTCCGCAAGTTCCTGCGGGTGGTCCCAGAGTTTGAAGTGGCGGACAAGCCAGTGGCGGTATGTCCAGACATGGTAGTTTTTAGAGTCCAAGGCGAACACCTGCATGAGGAATTGCTGTTCGGTACCTGGGAGCGTCGGAAATGCTTCCAAGTTGGACATGATAAGTTGGCGGTGGTGCCTGGTATTGCATATTAGCAGGCTTATCAAAGCAGGGGACAGTGAGAATATTATTTGATTGCTCCCGCTTACCATATTTGATAATTCTTTAAACACTGTAATGCGAGTTTATTAACCCACTCAATCTCCTCATTGAGATCCTTCTTCAACGCCACGAGAATCTGAGCTCTATATAACCTGGACCATGAAGAAAGGGGGAGAGGAGAGATCCCCATTCCTGTCAGCAACAGCCCGACCCAAATCAAAATCGGAAACACCCCAGTTTCACAACATAGACATAGATGACATAATATAATACTCACCAGACGGTATAATGCGCCGGATTCATCAAAATCACATCCCCCGTCAACTCCAGCGCCCGCTCGGACATCTCATTTGCCGCCATAACCGCCCTCAGGTACGAGGTTGCCTCTTCGTACTCGGGCGCGTAGGCAATTGTGGCGAGCGGGTACGTCCCATTCCCACTCACGCCTTTTCCTTGCCGCTCTGGGTCATTATTGTCATAGTAAGTTGACCCATCGTCGAGCGGGATCGGGGTTATAGAAGCCCAGGTTGGGGTGGAATATTTGCTCATTTTGCGCGCTGTTTGGTGGTCTTGCTTCGCGAGATGCAAGGACTTATATATGTTGTTTGATTGGATTTGATGGATAAACTAGAGAGTAAGAATTGGAAGGTCGTAGAGGAATAAGTCAAATGGGAGGAGAGTTGATAGATGAATTGAGCCTCACAGTCTCCTTTGCGCAGAACAATGGAAGAACTTCAAACCACGCTGATAGCCCCGCACGACCTGGAGGAGTACTGGTATCTCATGTGGGAGTTTTGAATCCGGCAAACCGAAGCTGTTATATATGGTATTTCAAAACAGCAGCAAAGCGTGTTGGTCCACGATTGTGCTCCTCCAGTCTCCAGATATCTTGATGGCAGACAAAAGCAGGTAGTCAGTCTTCTGAGCTTTATCAGAGTTTCAGCCTCAAAATTAATGAAGAATGGAAAAGAAAAGGTGACTTTTCCAAACACTCAGTATTGTAGGACAAGAACAATAGAATAGAATAGAGGTGCTTGTATCTGGAGCCTTGTCCAGTAATGAGATCAATAGACAATGCACAACAATCGAAAGCTTGATATTCACGTCGTTAAATCTAGGTTGATTCCAATTGCTCCACTTCCCAATCCGGCAATTTGACGTCGGCCGTGGCTACGCAGAACAAAGAAAACCCCGTGACTAGCTGTCCACGTGACCTTGACTACCGCGGGATACGTTTCGATCTGTTAACGGATATCAAACCGTTGCGGGCCAAAGAGAGATGCAGTAGATGCTAGTCGCCCGGAGAAAAATGGATCTAGTAATATTTATTTTTACCGAAAAGCCCGGAGTATACAAACAGTGAGTAGAAATGTAGCAATGAAACACATGCCGGCACTGCACAAAAATTAATTTAACAGCGGATTAAATATAAAAACACGTCCGAAAAAAATAGAAAATATAAATGTAAAACAAGAAAGTAAAACGAAAAGAAGAAGCACAGCACGCTAACAAACGGAACCATAATATATAAAAGTACAGAAATGAATTGAATGATTATAATGGGGTTGCTTGGTATAAAAATTCAGTAGATAGAAATGAACCACTGATGGAAAAAAAGAAACCGAGATTGCTCCCATGCCACTCTTGTCCGGTTTTGAAGTTTTCCTTTTATGATGTTCTTCCTTCGGGTTAAACTCCATGGGTTATTTTTCTAATTCGAGGAGAGTCGCTGATGGGGAATCACTTTTGGAAAAAAAAAAAAAAAAAAAAAAAAAAAAAAAAAAAAAAAAAAAAAAAAAAAGGAGCAGTACAGGGGGTGTTCGCATTGAGTGATGCGTTCGAGGGTTAGGATGGTGGTGAGAAGACTTAGGAATTCGATAGGTGGATAAGGAATGAAGAGAAAGATGGTGTTTGGTTTGAGGATTGTTGGATAGATGAGGTTGCTCAAGGATAGGCTTCCACAAGGTTAAAGGTGTTATGATCCATCAGGAGTTTCAACGAATATCCAGTAAAGATGACATCCGTTCCATTTGGATGACAACAAGGGATAAAAAAGCGAATCCGTATTGTGTAGAACGGTAGTTATTCCTTATTGCTTCCACGCTTCCAGAATTTCCAACCCTCTCGCCTCTCGTACCCACCCACACCAACTAAACGTTCAATCCCAGCGTTTCCAACCGCGTTCTCGAATTTCTGCTGGTCAATTTCTTCCCCGCCTTCTTCGTCCGTTCCATTCTTTAGCACAGCAGGCCACAGCACTCCAATGCCATGCCCACCAAGAGTTGTCTCATAACGCTCAAATCCTTCATCGTCTAGAGTTTTTTCTAGCTGGCGCAATACTGCTGGGTCAGTGTTTGCTCTTAGCAAGGTTATCGCGCAACCACCGCCACCGGCACCGGTAAGTTTTGTCCAGCCGGAGCCGGTGTGGTCGACTAATTCTCGGATGCGCTCAAGGCGGGGGTGAGATACTCCTAGCGAAACGAGGAGGCCATGGTTGATGCGGAATAGCTCACCAAAATGGTCGATTGCCTCGATGGAGCTTGAGTCAAAATCCCCGGATTGAATGAAGTCGCTGGCAGATTCCGTAACCTGATCTATAGCTTCGAGTATTGATTCAGAAACTGCAGGGTGTGCTTTGCAAAACTTTCCAACTTTCGCGACTTCAGTTGCAGTAGATCGTGGTTGGCGCGAATTGACAAGGAGGAGGGGAAGTTCAGGGAAATCAAGTATGGGAGTCACAGAGGGCGGTTTGGAATAATCTCCTCTTCTAAATATGACGGCTTTTCCGCCAGCTGAGACGGTATTATCCACACCACTAGGATTGCCATGTATACACATTTCACCAACAAACGCCCATTTGTTTATTCGTTCAATCTGAGTTTCTGCCTCTTCGGGCGGCTGATCTTGATGTGGGCCTGCTAGGATACGTATTTGCAACAAGAGAGCTGCGCTAAGGCAGACAGCTATACTAGCGCTGCTTCCTAATCCAGCGCCAATCGGGATCGTTGATCGCAGGGTGTAAACTGCAGCATGAGTTTGCGGGGAGCTAAGGGAGAGAAAGAGGTAGAGGAAGGCGGTCGCGGAGCTTTGGTGGATTTTCCGCACGTCATCTGGTTTACCAATAGATATGTCTGCGACATGTGGCTGTATAGCTTCAAGGAGTTCGGTGTCAAGAGAAGTGACAGAATCGTAGTAGAATTTTTTCTTGGATGGGTGTCGGAATAACTCCCAGGGCAGCGAATCAATATCCCATGTGTGATCCAACTCAATGTCTCTAAAATTAAGTGTAATGGTGCGATGCGATTTCGATAAAGTAGTAACCAGGAGGTATGAGCGGAGGGAAATGGCGGCGGCCATAGCCCGCTTACCGTGAACAACAGCATGCTCTCCAAAGACAATGACTTTGCCGGGCGCGGAGACCATGAAGGCCGGGGCCATGGGAGACGATGCTTTTCTCGCCATCCTAGTTCGATTGCTAACAATTGGGGTATCGCGCTGTTCACCCGCGTGACCGTTCATCCCCGAGAGTGTGGGAGACGGTGTTGCTATGCCATCTGAACTTTCCGACGAGTCTTCTTGTTGCTGGGTGGGGGTAGGGGTCAGGTTTTTGGCTTGGGGGGTCGTATGCTTCGGTCTGGTAGGGATTTCTGTGTCGATGTCCTCAGTTAGAATGCTGGCAACCTTCCGCCGCGCATTCGCATTCGCCTTTGAATGTCTCATGCTCCCACCCTTTCGTCGTGCGGACTTCTCCATGGGGAATAATGGTCGGTGGAGGTGCACAGGTAATACAAACCCGTCTGTCCTCCGATGCGTTTATTTCGCCAAGTTTGCGAGCCGCGAAGTAGGCTAGGTCACTCGCAATGCCAATGGCTGAGCTGATGATGCATAGCGGGGAGCGCAATTCGACAGAGACCGGGGGGTCGGTGCGTGCGTGGTGCGCGGCGACAAAAGTTATAAAAATTTAATGTTGGATGCCTTGGAGAGCGGAGTTGATGTTGCTGGGCTGAGCTAACCTACAGCCAATTACCCGTTTGGGATAGGTCTCGCCCCTGACTCAGAACAACGTATCAGGGCCGCGGTATTATTACAATGTACTGGCGTATTCATTATTTATTTACAGCGTAGGCCGATTGTTAGGGGGTTATTTGTTCTGCCGGTAGTCGATCGCCGGGTCCTTACTCCGTACAGGGCGACGACATCGTGAACCCAGCCGATTGGGGCTCGAGAAACCGCATGCAAGGAGCGCTGGTCTCCCCCTCGCCACACAGTGGCCGCTGACCAGTCAGAGCTCACTTATTTAGATGGATCCTACAACGCCAAGTCGCAGGAAATTTTCAGTATGCACCACATTCCTATCTAGGTTTAAATGCCCAGATTGTGGCTGTTTATGGAAGTTTGACGGTGTACTGGGTCTGTATATATTACAGATAAATTACATATCGAACTTAATCAGGTTCAGATTATGTAATAATTAGATTTACGGTAATGAAGGACGTGCGGTGTGACATTGCTTGCACTAAATACCAAATTTACATGAAACTAACCTGTAGTTAACTATAAGCTAGGCCCTTACTGCCTACTCCGTACAGGATCCATCTATTATTATTAAGAAAACAAGTCCCCGGTATTTATGTTCCATCCATGGATGCAACCCGGAATCTATCGGGGCGACCAAGAAATATGAAAGCACCTGTCCAAGCCCGGTAGCTAGCCAGGTACCGTACCGGCCCTTTTGCCATTTCTGGATAGCTTCCCTGCGGTCCAGATCCCGAAGTGCCATCCATGCTTTACGGGACATATATAAACGGAGCTAGAGAGATACAAGCCAACTTGGTATATAGCGCATGGCCCCTTACCAGGTGCTTCCACAATTATTATTTGATGCTGCATTATTGTTGGAGGGCATGTAGCTTTCCAGAATTGTTGAATCAATTATGCTGGCGTTGGTGAGGATCTAAGGGCCTATCAGCAAGCCGTTAGAATGAAGCGTGGAGCTCCTCCTCCCGATGCTGACTGGCAGCAATCTAAATTCAACCTCATGTCTTTTAACCGCTTTGGAATGTTTTTTAACAGTCGACATGCACACCCTGAGGGATGGCTGGCGTCATCAACTTAATTATGAATATATATATACTGTAATTATCACTAGTTAATTGACAACAATATCTGGTATAGACGCTTTCTCAATTGTTTTTTTTCTGGAGGCTGTGCATTTGCAAACCCGCGATAGCTATCTTCACGGCTTGCTGGGTAGCTTCAACTCTAGCAATATTCACCTACTGCCAGTGTGCTTTTCTTCCCTCTGAAGCATTGAAAGAACAAAGAAGATGAAGATGTTAACAATGATGATAATGAAGTTTGGCATAAAATTTCTATTTATATAATAATAACTAGTGTCCCCACATTCAGGGCTGAGGCTGAAAATTCCCTTTTGAGACTAGTAGCCGATGAACTTGAGGTTCAGTATTACTTTTTTCTTCAGATCTTGAACATTATCTCAGCAAGCTCAGACACTTCTTCAGATATCTATTCATTGCTGTTTTAACACTGAATTGATGATTATGTCATGAGCTAATCTCAAATAAGCAATAAGCTAACCCAAATAGTAAAATCAGGTCATGTGAGTGATGATATCTTGCAAAGCATCTGAGAAGAAACAGTTCCTGATTGTTAGCAACATGAGAAGGATTTGCTCAGTACTCTGAGTATGAAAGAGAATTTCAACTCAACTTCATAGATTCATCATTTCTGTATCACCTTGGAACCTTAGAATAGCAATGTTCTCACAATGTATCTGATTTTTATATTCATATCTCAAGTTCTTAGAATAGAAGTATCACCTCAAAGTTGACTAGTGTGTTTTTGAACACAGGAATTTTGATCCAATTCCTCATATAAAAAAAAGCTCTTAGAAATTCTGAGATCAAAAAATATGATCATTTTCAAGAGTATACATCTATCTTAAATATAGATTTTTTTGAAATATTAAAGAAATATTTCTATTCTTCTTCTCTTTAGCTATAAGCTAAGGTGATTTTCAAATCTCAAAGATATATAAGTATATAGTAATAGAAAGTCAAAGTTGAAGAATCTGAAAAATCCTTGTAAATCTCAGGAATCTCCATTGAAGATGGAACCATTTCTTCTCAGACCCTCTGGTGAGGATTGCTCTGAGCACATGACTTGTATCAAAAGTAGGTTAGTGTCATGCCGGATTAGTCTGCAACCTGTTCAAACCGAGCCAGAGGTCTGAGCCCGCTGAGATAACTTGAACATATCAAAATACTTGTGCTGGTTGCAACAGCTGGACACTAACTTACTCAATCGAAGTTCCTATACTCAACCGTTGATCTTTCCAGGAGAGAGAAAAACGAAGAGAAAGAGAGAACGAAAGAATAAAGAGCCATAGTAGTCCACACATACTAAACAGATGAGAAACTCCTTCAAAGCAATGTCGATCGATCAGAGAATAACTAGACGGATATATTAGAGATTCAACTAGAAACGCTGTCAGAAGAAGACGCAGATTCAAAAGCAGGTAAAAATCTCAATGTGGAGAAGCGGGTCAGTGCAACAATCATCCTTGACAAGACACAGCGCAATGCAGGTAAACATGAGGAAGAACATATAAATAAACAGATTGACGGCAAGGCAAATAAAGATGTGGGAATTTGAATGTATCTTCACAACTCCTCCCCCTCGACCCCAAACCAGGACTTAGCTTGCGCTGGTACCGCTTTCGGCCCATCCATATTAGCGACCCGAGGGGACCTGGCATCCTGGCGTCGCATGCTCTGATTAAAACGCTCAACAGTTTTCCCATAACCAGACCTTGCAAACGCATCAAATATTGTACGCTTCTCTTCATATATTGCCTCCCCATCGACAGCGTTGAGGTACATCAGGGCAATGGCAACAGGAAAGCTTGCCAGGTGCACCCCGTACGCGCCAGATAGCGGATGTAAGAGTAGGGGCATAGCCTTCGCGATCCTCCCACAATATATCCTCGGATCTGTCTGTGGCGGGAGAACTACCTGGGGACAGGACAGAATCCGAAGTGAGCTGTATAGAATGATGCAGATGGCCCAGTAGAGACACATGATGTGGCATGCCGCAAGGTAATCGAGCGAAAATGGCGATTGTTCTGCGTCAAGGCTATAGGTCGGGTCGGTAATCCCCAACTCCATACACCAGTTTATAAGCTCTTTCTCTAATTCCCAGCAAGTTTGAAGCAGATCCAGCCGTTGGAATTCCTGGATTTCCGGATCTGAGCAGGCTCGCGATATATCCAGGTTTTCGAGCAACGTTGGCATCTCAACTAGAATATCGATTAGGCGATCTTTTGGCGTTTTAGGTATCTCACTCCACGGAATATTTTTCCATTCCGGATTGCTTAAAATAATCCGCTTGCGGGCCTGAACGGCGCTAGTTGTCTGTGGGGTCGAAAGCAACCCGAGTCAGCACGTACGTCATATTCACCTTACACTTGGAGCTAGAGGAGAGAAAATATATGCTAACAAGATGAAGTCTTCCGTCCACAAAGAACTGGTGCAAATATCCCGAGATATATGTTTCCGGTGGCTGAGAGGTCACAATAGCGAGCTCTCCGTTGATATGGTTTCGCCAATTACGAGCCTGGGCTATCCTGTCCTCGTCATCCTGCCCGAAGAATACCTGGTCCACCCATGAGCATATGCAGACAGATGGTTTTAGCCAATAAAAGGCAAGGGGCAATGGAGATGGTACCTCATAGAGACTATACAACCTGGACATGACACATAAAGTAACGATGCTTCCTCGCGTCCGGTTGGCAAGGGCAGCAGACATTTCACTGAGCGATTCCATATAGTACCTGAGACCCTCCTCTTTTTCCCATCGGTTGTTTGTTATCCGCCCTGCAGTGGATAGACATATGGCAAGTAGTATCTTTTGAATATCCGTCGAGTTAAGATAAAGCTGGGGCAGCGAATTTGTCCAACCGCCACTGACGTACATCATCATTTGCGCAGGGAAGTGCTTATCTGTGGGAAGATAAGTACTCCAGAAGATACCAAGATACTTCTCTGCATATGCTGCCCGCGCCAGCGGCACTGGTAGGGCAATCTGGGCCGAGGTTGGATTCTTTCGACCAGCCTTACGAGGCTGAGTGCTGAAGTTGATAAAGCGCAGCTCGCGCTCATATCCATCGCACTTCAGTCGTAGCTTGATGCACTGCCCACATGCTGGGCGTTTTTCGTCGCACTATGCGCCCACTGGCAGTTAGAATCCTTCGTCGTGCATCCTTCCACGTTCAAGTCAATAACTTACGCCGCCCTTTTTACGAATTCTGCAAGTGCCGCAGCTCTTGGATCTCCCCGGAACGCCCACCATCTCGTTTGTAGTGTGTGGTTGGTATGCTTTGTGCCCAAGTGGCGCGAATTGTTTCCTATTCCGGCACAGAAGCGACAAGCGACAAGCTCAACCTCGAATCTTTGTTGGTGGACCTAGATAACAATACAAGTTCGGTGTCAAGTGCTGAATACTTGTTTATCTTTTGGATGAGGCCTGACTAATCAGACGGAACATGCGAACTCAAGTTCAAGTTGCGCTTTAGGAGAATAAGAAAAGGATTAAATTCTGAGTGGTGACATCTTCAACCGCGTTTTAAAGTAAATTAATTACGCCCGGCTCGATGGTGGAAAAAGTCCTCTTAACGCTTCTACGGCGCCTCGTAATGAAATAACACCGGCTTCCAGTTCCTGGCCCCCTTGAATCGTAATTACCAGTGGCCAAACAAGGCTGAAAACGTAACTAAACCAACCTGCGAGAATTACGACGGTGATATGCCATCTGTTGTCTATATTTAGTGCCAGGGAGGTGTATGAAGTGCCGAATTACAAATTCGATCGGGTCCAACCCATAGGGCAATCGTCCTGTGCAGATGGGCTCCCGTTTCGTCGCCTGTATTAGGATATTAGCGTCCTCCCTTTCACCGCCCGAAACTCAAATCTTGGCAACATTCCAAAGGAAGTCCAGGTACGCCCGTACAGACTGTATACAACACATAGTTAAACCTTGGTCAAATAATACCGACTAAACCTTATGACAACCAGGTTGCATCCTGATACAACCATATGGAGAACCTTGTCACGTTGGCAGTCTTCCAAGGCCGGAGGTACAGAGTGTTGGTAGTTGTCAATACTTATATTAATACTTATATTCTTCATCAATTGACTACTACTGACTCTATTTCATGTTCAGTTTCATCTGAGTTCTTAAATTCTCTACTCTTTGCTCAAATTCAGATGTACTGTACATGTACATGTACAGGTACATCACATCAAATTTCTCTGTCACTCACTCAAAATTATGTCTGATATTAGTATACAAGAAAGAGAGTAATGAAGAATAAAAATAGAGTTTCAAAATCAAGATCGATTATACTGTACTCCGTATATAATAATATTTCTCTCTGTCTGAAATGCTGATGTTGGAAGGAGTTGTCTATTCTTATCTTAATTATAAACTATACCAAAACACACCAATACACCTGGTCTATCATATAATCCAGTAGTTTTCATGTATTTAATACACTAATGTACAGTACACGCTAAAAAACCATGTGCCTTGCGGCCAGACGAGGGACAGAGATAATACACACAACATTGATCCATCTCAGCCCCTTCAAGGGTGGGCTTCAGCCTCGGATCAGATAGGTCCAGGCAAAATAAGAATTGACAGATTGAGAGCTCTTTCTTGTTCTTGAATAGTGGTGGTGCATGGCCATTCTTAGTTGGTGAAGTGATTTGTCTGCTTAATTATGATAATGAACAAAACGTTTAACCTGCTAAATAACCCAACTCGCGTTTTCGGGGCCGCTGACTTCTTAGAGGGACTATCAGCTCAAGCCGATGGCGTTTGATGCAATAATAGGTCTATGCCCTTAGAAGTTCTCCACGGCTGCCGGGGTTAAGATAAAGTTATGCGCTAAGCCTATCCTGGAAGATTACCGCGCAAGATCCAATGGTTCCTCTTACCTAAATTTAAGCATGAATTGTTGGCGGCTTGGCGCCCATGTGTACTTCAACTTTGTTTTTCAATCCACAAATGTTTTATATAGTTCACCTTGGCTATCGCACGTATCAAAGCTACCACGGCTTAGCTCTATGAGCTTGGGGGTTTTGAACGGATATATCTTTTTTAAAATTGTTTGAACAATGGAAAGTATAAATACGTTAATTCCTTGTCCCTCTCCTCCCATCATGGAGCAAGTCCATATCGTCCTCTCTGAATTTCCACAATTCTTTACTGTACATCTCAAGCTGCCAGTCACCTTGACTCCGTTCCTCCTATATCAATCATGGTGAAAGTGGGCCGCCCACCAGCCAATGCCTTCGTGGCAGTGGCTAGGAAAGTCTACAACCCCGTAGGATTTTCTAAGGGCTACAATTTCATTCTCTTCTTCATCTTTGCTGGAGCATTGATGGGATTCACTCTCGCCAGATTACAATACCTCGACTACTATGGCATATTCTGCGGCTCCACTGGGATCGGAGAGTGCTACTTCTTTACGAAGGGCATCGAGGAGATCGGCCTGATTGTTCACCTTGCCACTATCCTCCCAGCTTCTTTCCTCGTCGTCTTCCAATTCGTCCCTGCCATCCGACACAGATGGATAATGATCCACAGGATCAATGGCTACGTGATCCTTGTCCTATCCATCATCAGCATAATCTTCTCCCTCATGGCCGCAAGACGTTCCTTTGGAGGTGGGCTGGACACCCAAGTGGCTGTTGGCTTCATTGGGATTCTCTTTATCATATGTATGGTTTTGGGATACATCAATATCAAACGTTTGCAGCTTGAGCAGCACAGAGCCTGGATGCTCAGAGGATGGTTTTACGTATGTTTATGATTCACGCTATCTTAACTTAATAAACTGCCACTGACAATTATTTTCAGGCCTCCTCAATTATCACCCTCCGGTTCATCCAGATCATCATGACAGTTATCATCAGCCCAGGGGGTCAATACTACGGTGCCAGGCTATGCTCACAAGTAGATTACACGATTGGAGAGAATCGAACGCGAGCCCTGTACCCTGATTGCGACGCCTTCTACTCCGGTGCAGACCTGAACAAACAGGTTCTGGTTCAGGCCAAGTACTTAGGAGGGGGAAATGAAATAAACGCGGGTGCTGCCTTCGGCCTCGCTTTCGGGCCATCCATGTGGTTGGCATTTGCCCTCCACGCGATTGGAATAGAAATCTATGTACGTTCTCCAGAACCCCCTATCAAAAACCCCCGAGGCCGCTTGTTTTAGGTCCCCATATTCAAAACCGAGCAAATCAAATGCTACAAAAGCTAACGATGGTGATCCTCCTGTAGCTTCGTCTGACCCCTTGTGAAGCCGAAAGACTTCGAACCGTATCTTATCAACGGCAACAAGAAGCTGGAATGGCGAACCCAGGACGGGCTGGATTGACAGCTGACCGTTTGGGAGATGCCGCAATATGGAAACCAACGTATTCAACCGATGATGAAACCAAAGGGACTGCGCAGCAAAATGGAAATGGAGAGTAACTGACGTGACCTGTTTCTCCAGTACCGTTACTTTCATTTAGTTATTTCTTTTGTTTCTGCATATTTATAGAGTATAGTTAGATTTCATATTGCATAGGCAACGGAAATTGAAACCTGGAAGTTCCATAATCGGTGGCATTGGCGCCTGCTTTCGTACAAATATTACATACCATTCTTCCAATGTTACTCTCTTTCTGTATTTGGCAAATTAATAATACCGGAGTGACATGTCCGTTATTTGATGGCAGTTACGCCCATCTGCACTTACATGAAAAGATAAAAAGAGGACCCGGGCAAAACTAGCCCCCATAGAGTAATTGCACCGAAACCCAAGGCCCTCGTAAATGATCTCATGAAGGATAAACAAGACTACAATAAGAAAGAAAGTTAGCAATTATATTAGCGCCTGATTTCTGTTTCGTCTGGGAAGGGATGCCTGCAATTACCTCCACGTCTCTCTGGGTTGCCACTTGCAAACGAAGCTATGCCTCGCCTTGCAACCTGGGCGCCAGGGTAGGCATTTTAGCATAGGCCCATTGAACACTTTAATTCTCCGACTTCAGCTCTCGCACCCGATATGAAAAGATAGGCCATGAAATGAGGCTTCACCTGCCCCATTCCTACACGCCTCTATCGACTTCTCTCCGACCAAAGGCAGCACTAGCTAATTGAATCCCCCTACTCCCACGTCACAAACCAAGCACAATGAAACCGTTGTACCCATCCCAGGCCGGTGGCGGGAAGGATCCCCTAAAGCAGTTAGCTATATATTTTAAGAATTAGTCTTTTTCAGCTCCCTCGAATGCTGGAACTGAGAGGAACAGGAACTAAACTTAAAGCTAACCTTCGTTGCCAGGAGCATGGGGAAATGTAACAAATTTAACTTCGTTGCGGCATAACTGGTATTCTTTCCGCGTCTGGGCATCTTTACATCTGTCCCATCCTGGTGACCTAACAAGGCCATCCTGCGATATCCATATTTATATTCTGTTAGAGGAAACAAAGGAGGGGGGGCATCATCCTCCGCATAGAGTTATAGGACAGCTCGATACCCATTTGACAGATCAAAACCGTTGGGCCGAGAGGATCAACCCTTAGGGTTTCGGCGTTCCCCGAGCGATTTCTAGGAATTTCCCACACCCTCTTTGGTTCTTTTTTTGGGGGGGGGGGGGTCTTAGGGCTGGTATTCCGACAAGTTTCGGAGCTCAATATCTTTGTGCCTAGCAGTCTCCCTACAAGGCGGCCACAAGCACTTGCCTTTAAAGCGTCAGGGTTCGGGACAAGCACTACCGAGACAGGGGTTCGATTCCCAGAGCAGGGTTAATTGTACTGTTTTTATTTGTTTTTCCCGGGTTTTTAATACTAGTGTTACGGTTAGCACAGGCTCCGATCATTCTATTTATAATCAGTCAGTAGATCTCAAGAAATTTTTTTAAAAATTCAAATTGATCTGTTTTATCTCAAAATTAAGTTTTGAAAAGTCTTTAAACTTATGATCAGGCACTGTATTAATGATATGTCAGATGTAAGAAAAGGATCAAGAGAAAATAGCAACGGGTGCGGTGGTCAGTACTGTTCACAAGATTCTCTTGTTCTAGCTCTATGTTTAATGTTTCTTCATGACTACAGCGTACAGGTTCAGAGCAGTTTTAACCTAAATATTACCGAGGGAAAAAATTATGTCTAATATAATAATGGTAGAATCACCGTCATCTAATGGTAGTGGGATTCTCAGACTTATCGTCATCCTCGGTCTAAGAAATGATCACATATTAGAGGAGTCTGAATACCACCAAATGATACATATGTTAGAAAGAGTCAACGCTGAGCCATGTAGCGCAGAAAGGCACTCACACCATAACTGATGTCCTTAACAGTCCCGTTGAAATTATTCTACAGAGGAAACAATGTAACTTGACGAAGTGCGGTAGATCCATTTTCGTAGGACAGGTGAAAGTGAAGTTTCTCAAAAGGGTTGCCGTTCTTTGTCTCATAAACAACAGTCTGTTTTGACGGTAAGGATTCATACCACTGACCAAAAATTTCCTGGGCGCCGTCGGTATATGTGATCATCATACCAGTACAGCGCGACTCAACAGAACAGGTTTCGATTTCGTTAATATCCCTCAGGGATGCGCGGGATAGAAAGATACCTAGGGGAGACCCTCGGATAGAAGGGATGTCGGTAGGGCAGAGATTGCGGTGGGATGTTGATTTTGGCGCTATCCACCACTTTACGACAAAAGTAAATACCAAAGCTGGTACTGCAGGACGGATGTCGCTGATAAGCATCATATTATATCCCAGATATTCTTCCGTGTGCTTGACTAGCAAGAAGCCGAGTCTGAAGGGCGGACGGGTGCATGTAAGGTCCAAAATTGCTAGTTCTACCCTCACTTGTTTTCATCTAGGCCAGAGTCAATTAATTCATCTATACTTGTGAGCCGCGGGCAAATACTGACAATGATGAAAGGGGTCACAAAGCTATCACCCCGATGATGAACAACCCAGATAGAAGTGATAGTTTCCGTCCGTGGTTTTCAACCGGAAGTAGATGGGACATCCAGTCTGACGGCCGGTCCAGCTCACTCTTCTTTCGTTAGGGGGTTGATCAGATCTGATATGCGCACCGACAGCGGCAGAAGGGCTGCAGAAAATAGTGATGCCGTAAAGTACACCTTGCGCGTTGTGCAACGGGAGGTGGTGAACAGGAGTCCATGCTGAAGTCTCTCTTATAGAGTTGGTTGGATTCGCATAGCATGTCTCTGCAGTAAGTAAGTTGGTCGCCGAAATGGGATAGTCACAATCCCATAGGAACCCGTCACCAAGTGATGGTGAGTCCTCTTATAGTCTATCGATTGCGTAAAGCTTAAGTCCCTGGGATTATTATTAGTTTATTAATTAGATGTTCATATATGAAATCTGCCCTACATCCCACCACAACTGAAGGCAAGAGATAGCCTGCTTGTGATTGTATACATCCTGCCCAATGATGTCCACTTTGATCAAGAGGTTTATTTCCAACCGACCTCAAGAACCCATCTTGACAGTGGAACCGTATCCGCTGAATTCTGTACAGTCCAAGATCAAATGTCACTGCCACGATCGGTGATGTGAGTGAAATGTCATGGCGTGTGGAACTTCTGTGTCCACAAAGCCGCTCTCCATCATCCAGCCCGCGGATATAGCTCGCCCCGTTGATATGTATCAGGTAAGCAGAGATGTGATTGTTTAGGTTTATATAGTCGTTCTGTCCAATTCCGCATGGTCGAAGCTTCTTCAGAAGATCTGTCACTCCGCTAGCCGTGATAGGGAGCAATGATCAAGCTGGACAAGGTTGAAGATACATCCAAATCAAGGAGACAATCTCTGCTGGCAGCCTATTCAATATGCCTCTTAGCAGTCTGGTTAGTTCTGAGAAATCTGAGCTACTACGCCCTTCATCTGAAGGAGTCGATTCTTTCCAATGTGAAGCTGTTGTTAGTCGGTTCAAGGCTCGCGATAGTGTAAACCTGTCTGTGTATGGATTGACTGGGAAAAAGGGGCCGTGAAGGGGGTGCCATGGAACGCGCCAAGTGGCAGATAGATAAAGTTGGTCAGCCTTCAAGTTCGGCCAGCAAGCCAGGTGAAAACAGTAAATGGATTCCAGGTCTCGCTTTGAACGACATATAGTGACGGAACGTTGGATGGAACGTTTCGGTCGGTTGGGATATTCTGTTGGATCAAAGGTGACTTTCATCACGGTGAGATCCGAAGTAAAGAGGGAAGATTCTGTTAAATAATCCAAGCCATTAGTGCCATTCAATACAACATATTTAGTACAACACAGCACAGCACGAGGAGACCTAACTACCAGCGCGGAATGAGCAGAACCATTTTATATTCGGAGTAAGAGGTTCCACATATTGCTGAATCAACTCCTCCCCACAAAGGACACAACAGCTGGAGGCTACATATTCATTCATCGGTACGGTTATTTGTAGCTCAACACACCCCAACAGACACTGATTCAGCAAACATGGCTCAAAGGACTGAAGAGCAAAGACCAACATTATTCATGGTAGTAACTAATATCCTCATGAAAGACGAGCCGAATACGCCAACTTTCCTATGACATTTTCTTATCACCTGCCTTTCGTGCTCAACTCAAACTTATATACTTCATGCTTGAAGAAGTCTATTCCACGATGCTCACCTATAAAAGCTTAGCTATGACGAATTTGCATACTGCAAGCTGCCCTTTTGAACCATACGTTGTTGGGATTTTAGAAACAAGAGAGGTCGCCCATCCGGCATTTGTACCTTGGACTAGTCTAGACAACCAAAAAGGTAGCCAACCGCTGCCCGTTCGGGTTGAATGCGACCGCCTGCTTGCCATGTGGCTCGTGACTCACTGTTGCATTTATCTCACCCCTATAAAATTGATGGTTTGATGCTCCAATAATTTAGAACGCCCAATGGTTGTAAAATCCACGTGTTATTCTACGTCCCATTCTTGTTTCGAGTATGTTCATCTAACAAAAGAGGGGGGGGGGGGAGGAAATCTTTTCTTTGTGAATGTGGTAATTGATATGAAAATTTTCGATGTGAATGGAAGCGGATAATGTTGAATGAAATTTAAGCCTGTGACTGACCCAAGCCTGTCTATAAATCCTTTAAACGAGGGGTCACAGCATATCCGATACAAGTGAGAAGAGAAGTCAGACATCATAAAAAGAGAAGAAGAAAAGGATACCCGGGCTCAGAAAGAGATTCCGGAAGAGAAGCGAATAAATCCGTTACCGGGTCACACTGGCACGGTGGGTATAGATGCAGTACACGCAATCAACTTAACCAACTCGATAACATAATCACCCTCCCCGCTATGCCTCTTAATCCTTGAGCTCAGGGGTAGTGTCGCCGTCATGCTCCACTGAGGGAAGGGTGTGACCGATGGTGCTCTTGCGGCGGACGGCCTCTTCAAGATACTCAGGCTTGAGCTGTCCGTGTTTGTCGTAGCGATAAGGCTCCTTGACCGAGTTGGTGACAGCATTGAAAACGTTCGTAGACTTCTTGAAGATACTGTCCATCTCTTCGAGGGAGCGATAGTGAGTCTCGGGGAAGAAAAAGTATACAGTGGGGAAGATAAATGCGTTGCTAGTACCTGTTAGCTTCGAGCACGACTTGTCGTATTGGGAGCTTAGAGGGTTCCTTGGGAGAAAATCTTACATAACAGCGAAGATAACATAGGTTTTGTATCCGATGCTGTCGAATGCCACGGGAGTAATCATGACAACCATGAAGTTAAAGATCCAATTGGCACTGAAGAAAAATTAGTTATTGCCATATTTGCCAAAAAATAGCTAAGTTGAAGGAGGGAAATGTTCTGTTCTTACCTAGTGGCCAGTGCATTGGTTGGTGCACGGATTCGGAGCGGCACAATTTCTGCCGGATACAGCCATGTCATTCCAAGCCAGCCGATGGCGAAGAAGGTGTTGAATACGAAAAGGAAGACTGCCTGTGTGATACCAGCTCTGCTATCATCTAAGTGCGTCAGCCGATAGTTGGCACCTGCAAGGACTGCCATGGATATCGACATGCCAGCGGCCTGAGGTACGAGACTATGTTAGCTGATATGATCCTAAATCCAAGATGTGGATTGAGTGACATACCCCGAAAAGCATGAGTGGCCGACGTCCAACTTTCTCAATGATGTAGATAGGGATAAAGGAGGCCATGAAATATTCCGTGCCATTACAAGCAGCGAGCAACTTTGGCAAATTGCTGCCGACAAGACCAATTTGACTGTATAGTTGAGGCGCCTGAATAACACATCAGTAATGAAGGGATATCACAGAGCACCACACGAGGCTAACTCACGTAGTATGTGATAAGGTTGATACCAGAGATCTGTTGATACATTTGGATCACGTATGCAAGTGCAACTCGATGGAATTCACGATATTCACTCATTTGGAAGAGGCTTCTATATGAACCCTTGGACATTTCCTGGACGGTGGCTTCGATGGCTTCGAACTCAGCTTTAATAGCGGGGTCATCACGAGGTTTCTGATTAAGAGCCTCGAGAATGTCGAGTGCGTCCTCATTCCGGTTCTTCATGACGAGCCATCGCGGAGATTCAGGCAAGTTGAGAATGGAACAGAAAATGATCATAGCAAATGTAATCTGGAAGGCCAGTGGAAATCGCCATGCCACTTCGTGCTCTCCAATCCATGCAAAGCCTATTGACGCAATCATCAGGGCACGTACTTCGTTTATCAAGAATTTAGATGTCTCAACATACCATAGTTAACCCAGTAACTGAACGTAATGCCTCCCGTAATTAGCGCGCCCTCGATCATAATCAGTTTGCCACGATCATGAGACTTTGCTGTTTCCGATTGCCAAGTTGGCACAGTACTCGTGTTAATCCCGTTACCGATACCTGTGACAATTCGACCAACGATGAAATGAGGTAAATCATATGCCGTGCATTGCAATAAGGCCCCGATAGACATCGTGATACAGCCAGTGAAGATGGTTCTCCGTCTTCCTAGCGGGTTTCCGATGAAGATGGTGAGGATAGCTCCCAGGAAACATCCCAAGTTGTAGGCTGCTACGGTAATGCCTTGGTTCGAACTGCGCTGCGATTGGGCAGCGGGGTCATTTTTAATAAGCGGGTCTAAAGGATCGATTGAAGGGAAGTATTTGTTGAACGACGGCAGATCTAGCAGACCACCCGTTACGCCCTGATCGTATCCAAAGAGGCTTTATTTTTTTAAAAAAAAGATTTTCCCGTGTGACACTAGTCAGTCTTGAAAATGATATCCCTTTTCTCAAACCCATGAAAATGATAGTAACGTACAAGAAATCGAGACTGCCAAGAGAACTGATAGCCAAGTTCAAGGCGCGGCCTCTGAGGCCAAAGAATCTCTTCCCAAACATAGCGGTAAGCCACAGCGCAAACAACCACTATGGAACCTTGGGAATAAGAATGGGGTTCAAAAAATGATAAGCAAAGAAATGACAGCTGGAGATGATCAGCTGGAGAATATGGTGGGTTATATATGTATGTTTCTATAACCGCATCCACACCAAGTGACCGTTCTCCCACGCGCTCGGATTGACGAATGCGGCAATCCGAGGCTGTGGAGACCCCATCATGAAAGAGATATGCGGAGGACGACATGGCACGCCTGGGATGGGAGATGTTGGCTGCTGCAAATAATATAACCCGCCAAAAAAGTTGAACTTCCCACTTTTTTCTGTCGCGAATGCAATCAAATCTTTTTTTCCTCCAGGCGGAACTCACTGTTATCTCCACACAATTGCCCTGAGGCTCTGGGGAGGCTGGGGAATATATGGCGGGCAGCACCACTTATTTCACGGGTAGGAGGAATTAGGGGAATACACGCGGCTTTGGCAGTGTTAGCCATCCTGAAATGCCCCAAAAAAGGATGTGTAGTCTAAGCAACATCCATAGTTGCAGTCTGTCTACTTCCCTTTTTTTTCGGATTTTTCTAGTGGTGGAGCTGAAGCTGGAAAGCCGAAGGAGAGTCCTTGTCAAACCGCTAGTCAGGGATAGACGGGAGTGGAGGAAATATCTGCCGCTAATTCTTGGCGGTAAATTGTTCGAGAAACCCTCTGAACAAATCGCATTCAAGTTTTGAAACAAAATGGAAAAATAAAAATTTTCCCAAGGGCAGTAGAGATTCACCCTCCACTATTTCGGCTTCTCCTCGGCATCCTTGCGGCCACTGCCCCCGGCGGGCCTCCCGCGGCGCGGAAAATAAAAATTGGACCCATGATGTCATTTAAACCTCTCGCCGAAAAGTGATCTACACCCCTAACTTATCTTGGCGAGAAAGCGATCCCGAGCCTTGGCCCTTGGTCCCGCGTTTGGTGATTACACCAATCGCTGCTTATTCTCGACGGCGGCTTGCCAAGCAGCAGCCTATGGAAGCCCCTTTTGAGTTCCTGGGCTCTGTACCTGGCCCTAGGAGGTTGTCCCAATCCACAGCGTTGGAGATGAAATTATACTATTTTCTCATTGGTGGGTGAACACCCAATTCCCGAAGTGTTTTTCATTTTTTTTTCGTTGCTTGCCCACCAAACAAAAGGAAGCACGAGCGGTAAAAGCAGCCATTGGGGTTGAGATCCCGGTTTAAAAATCCTGGCCCAGCGTGGCGTGCCGCATGTCTTGATGAGGGTTTGTCTCGGTCATCGGGCGGCCAAGCTGGGGGGCATTGGACGCCGCAAAAATATAACACCAAGTTTGTCATACTCCAGGATCATCGTATTCGAAAGTCATTTATTGTTTTCCAGCGAGTGAGGATTCATCTCTTTCCCAATGACAATAACATAGCATTTCATATTGTCTAAGTACCAATCTATTTGCCACAAAAAGAGAAATCCAAAAAAAAAAGAAAAAGAAAAGAAAAAGAAAAGAAAAAGAAAAAAGAGAAAAGAAAGAAAGATAAGAAGAAAAGAAGAAAAGAAGAAAAGGAGAAAGAAAGAAAGAAAGAAAGAAAGAAAGAAAGAAAGAAAAAGAAAAAATCGATATAGAACCAGAGTAAAGGATACCAAAAAGATCCAGATGCCACAGAAGCGGGTTGAGGAGATATGTAATATCAAAATGAAAGTACTCTTTGTGCGCTCGGATGTATATGCAGGTCAAAACTCTAAATCATAATCATCATGTACTGTATATGGCAGATGAAAACAAGAAAAGAGACAGGCATATATGCGAGGGCAAGAAACCGAAAAATAAATAACATTGAATCAATCAGAGATTCATCGTCACGGTCATACTATTACTATGAACCAGCAGACACGGGGGAAGTCCATTGCACATAAGGTCAAGATCGCTCACATATGATTCGCTGGCAACCGTGTCGCGCCACGTCCCCTCTATCGGCGATGGCAACGTCGTGAAAATAACCGCTGTCTTCTGACTATGGCTTTTTATCAGCTCGTTTAGTATCAGATGCTGCGCGCGACAGGGGAGGTCATTAAACGACAGGGGGACAACATTCTGGACTGAGTTATTGTTTGGTGACGGGGAGCCTCTCGATGGTGAATTCGAACGGGATGATGCCGCAGCGTCTGGCGTAGGCTGTCTTGCGTAAATTGATTCGCGCGGACCTGATGGGCCGGATGATAAGTCGTCTCTCGGAGGGCTGCTGGCAAACATAATCGATGGGCCTGAGTCTTCCTTGTCGGCTACTCGGGTAGTGGGGATTGGCGAGGAGGAAAATTTATTGCTTGATACTGATCGGGGTACGTCAGGGCGGCCTGTGAAGGCTGAACCTTGCAAGCCGTCATCGTCTGTTGTGGTGATCGTTGGAATGTGACGACGAAGTGGCGTAGCTTCAGAGCCAGATGGACTCGACGGCTCGTCTTCAACAGCAGTCTCTGTACTGGCTCTGGGCAAAACATGTGTCATCTTGTGGCGTTTGGATTTGTGTAGACCTGCCCGGATTCTCTGCCTCAAGTCGTCTGAAGGGCTCTTTGCTGCTGTTCCTGCTTCTTCAGTATTTGACTGGGACGGCTGCTTCGTACTCGAATCATCATTCGCACCGTGATCACCGTCACTAAAATATGGTTCAAAATCGCTATCATCGCTTGAGGACTCCGAACTATTATCTGAATGGTAGTCCACCATCGTATCCAACAAGCGCTGTGTTTGCATACCAAGGGTGAAACCCATTGCCCCAAAACTACCAATGGACCGTCTCCTCTTTGAATTTTCAATCAGCTTTCGCAGGCTATCAAGTCGCGAACTATTGCCCCTGTGACGCCCATGTTGAAATGAAGAGGCTGGCCATTTTGGTGCTGTACCTAGGAGTGTCGATGCCCCTTTCTGCGGGCTGACATTTTCGGCCCGGACCCGGCGGACATCCTGCCACCAATCCTCATCCTTCAATGCACGATCCACCGCATCGATAGTCGCCTGGTCGAGGCCGGACTCATCGCCATTAACTATTATCTGGTATGACTTAAAATCACCGCTGGCAAGCCAGAAGACAAGGACCTTCGCTTCAATCCTGAGCTTCTCAAGCAACGTTGCCACTCTTCTACGCTCCTCCTCGACATCGCTCTCGTACTCCACAAATACCGCCACACGAAGACGGTATGACTTTTTCCACGACGGCACTGTGTTCAGAATGCATCCGAGCTGTAAAATTAGAGTGTATGTATCGAAGTTAGTCGTGAGCAGGTTTTGTTTACTTGTCCCATCAGTTGCTATTTCCGCGGACATTTGGATAGGCCATAAGTCGATGTATTTCTTTGTATTGCCGCCATTTGCGGCCGGCAGCTCGAGTTTATCAAATCCTTTAGCTATAGCCACATTGATCCGTAATTTGAACAATAGGTCCTCCAATACGGTCAGATAACTCTGAACACTCATCTTATAGTCGGCTTTGAAAGATTCTGTCCCGCTTATCGAAGCATCGAGAGTTTCGTTGCCGTTTAGAGGATCCGTGGGTTTAGAAATGGAGCTGCGTCGTCTCAAACGGGACGCAAATGGCGTCTCCGCGACCAATTGATTCTTGCGGAACTCATCGATAATAACGATATTGGGCCGCATGCCCCCTAGTCCCGAAGTCAGTGCGATATTTCTAATTCCCCATTCCGCGGTAGGAGCAACCGATATGTTGATAAAGGCCTTCACTTTAGAAAATTCGATAAATCTAGTCCACGAGGCTTGTTCTCGGCGTGCATCTGGGACCGCGCTGGCAAAGTCATCCGCGACTATAACATGCCCAAGAACGAATAGACCGCCTTTCTTTAACGAATTGCAGAAGTGAATCATTTTATATTGAGAGTCAAAGTCGTTGACAAACAAGAGAATTTGCGGGCGCCAAAATTTGACATGTTCTGGACGAAGACGAAGGAGATATTTGCGAACTTGATGGTAGATGAGGTTCTGGCTAACGTCACCCCACGACTTAGGAGGTGTGGTATAATGGATCAGGAGAAATAACAGCATCAATATGCAAACACAGCCTGACGCGTAGACTCCATCCACGAAGAACATGGTAACACCGCTGATTACTGTTCCAAATAGGGCTGTCCACGAATTGAAATAGTGGAAGGAGGGGCGGAAGTTCGGTGCTGATCCAACTTTCAGCAGGAAACAAGCCAAGTTGGTTACTAAGAATGTCATGAGATAGGTCATTGTGATGAACGATGCGATCTGGTTGATGTCAAAAAGCATCGCAATTTGGGCAACGACGAAAGTGAAGATGATAGCATTGGTCGGCTCGTCCTGTTTCGCTGTACCTTGGCTAAAGACTGTTAATCCGGGGATAAGGGTATCTCGAGCTATGGCCTGAAGCAATTTTGCGGAGCCAATGACCCCCATTAAGGACGAAAAAAATGATGTCGCGAACTCCCCAAGCAGAATAAGAATTCCGGAAGCGTTAGTCTAAATCTGTCAGTAAAATACTTTAGAGGTCCCGGTATAAGTTCTGGTTTAAAAAACTTACATCTTGGATGATATTGACATCGTTATATAGGGATGTTCTGGTGATACTACATGCCATTGATAGAATCACCACAGTGTAAGTAAAGAGGGTCACTCCGAGCCCACACAATGTGCCTTTCGGTATAGATTTACTAGGATGCTTCAAATCGCCGGACATGCTTGCACCCCTAGATGAACCAAAACAAAGAAAATTAGCACTCAATTTTGAGAATCAAACATCGTGGGAATATAGGTGCCCATACGCGAATATGCCACCAGTAGCAGGAAATAGAATACCAAACAAATCCTGAAAGGTCTGCCGACCTCGTATTTGACTTCCAGCAGCGCCTTTTGTAAGCCTTGGCAGAAGATTATCGACAAAAGTTTTTGAACTGGGTCCAGTAAATTCAATTCCCAGGGCCTTATTTTTGAATGGTTCCATCATCAGGGCAGAAACCGGAATGCTGAAAGTTGCCACCAGTAAAATAACAAGGAGTCCATTGCTGGCGCGGGAAAATATCGAGCTCCCTGCCAGACAAATTACCGTGCAGAGGACCAGGACGATGGTGGCCCAAAGATAGGTCCACCAAAATCCTTCCAGCATAATTTGGGACCATTTGCCGGATACGGACCCAAAACTTTGAATCAGACAATTGATTAAGCCGACGGCATTCATTCCAGTGTTGAGGACAAACCCGATATAAAACACGATTCCAATTGAGCCACCGAATTCCGGGCCTAGGGACCTGGATATCAGGTAGTAGGCACCACCTCCGCGGACCGTCCCGTTTGTTGCGATCGCTGAAATAGACATGGTCGTCAAGAGATTTATCAGATACGAGGCAGCAAGCATTCCTGTTATCTCCAAGTCAATACATCATTCATGCTATTATTTGGAGGAAAGCATACCCAATGTACCCAAAACTCCAGCTTGTCCCAGGATGAGCCCAAACCGAAGGAACATAAGAATACTCAGTACATTTAAGGTGGTGGGAACAAAGACGCCTGAAAAGCTACCAAGTTTGCCGGAGCCATCTGGCGCACCAGATCTCTGATCAACCTTCTCCTTCTTGTCAAGGAAATCAATATTTCGTGGATCCTGCAGAGCGACGGACGCGCGCCTCACTAAAACTACGCCTGGGGTCCTTTGCTGTTCCACGTCTGCTTCCCTGCCAACATCTTGAGACTTTCTCTTTCCCCAACTCCCAAAAATGCTACTCGTAAAAGCTCGACCTCCGGCCGGCGGAGGAGAGGTTGACATTAAAGGTTCGTATGGTCGAGCTGGAGCAGCATATTGAGTTCCATTGCCATTGTCGCTAGATCGAGTTTCTGTATCAAACCCAGTGCCGGCAGCATCAGCCGATCTAGCAGCAAAGGTAGGTCGCTTTCGTGGCCCGCCATGACCAGCATCCCAGCTCTCTGCCATTAGGGGTTTGGGCCTGTAGCTAGTTATCGAAACGTATGCTGCATGATTGAAGCTCAAATTTAGCGAGCACGGCCCATATACCAGGTACGTAGCGATTACAAAAACGCAGCACCTGTGGTCGTGGCAGCCTCTCAGGCTTGCGAGAGGGGTCGATAGAGGCACAACTTATGGTGATTAGGATTAGGATTCTGATCGAGGACAAGGAAGACCAGAGGCAGACAAGTCAGACGGCAAAGGAGCAGCTAAGGAGAGAAACGAAGCTCTGTCAACCCCAGACCAGATTCAAGAGTGCTGTTGGAAGGCAAGCAGACCCATGTCGAAGCCAGTGACTTGGCCCGAGCACGGACCTTTTTTTGTGGTATTAGTAAGCAAGATTGGATGGAGCTAGGTCGATCTTGGGGGCGGTGACAACTGTGGCATTCTATTCCCACGTCCATGGGCGATCAGGAGGGAAATAAAATATAATAAAATACCAATCTATTCCGTATATAAAACAAAATTTCCTTTTACGATATATCGCACCAAATTTGGAGGAAAATTTATCGTTAATCTTGCGCCGCGGTACCTGACATTGCCAATGACGTCAGCGATTGATCGCCAAGGCGGGACCTGAATGACTAAGATAGACCCGCCATCTCCACGTGACCCCTTCGCTGCCACCCATTCAACCGCTCCGGAGCTCCAGGGTTTGGAGATGGAGAGACTACTTCACCAGACCCAGCCACCTCTTGACAGCGGCATTCAACACTCAAATAAATGAAATACTCACCCATGGCCGCAACCTGAGAAATATATTTCACTCATCCTTCTTGTCACGCCAAATTCAAGCTCCCTCTGGCGGCTCCAGGGCTATAGTTGATATCTTCTCCATTCCGAACTCAGTTATCCGCTCAATTTCAGCAAATTAAGACTATTTATGTTACCCTGAGAAAATGCCGGAAACCCTAGATAGGTCCCCTTCACCATCTCATTCGCAACGATCCGGTTCCCCGGCACCAGGATCCCTCCCGCGGCATGCTGTGACTGCCCGCCTTGCTTCCCCCATCCCATCGTCGTTCGATGGCCCGGGACAGAGCCCCCGGTCAATTCCACCTTCAAATGGGCCTTCAGGAGAGCAGCTTACGCTTACTCCAGGGGCTCATGCAGCCTCATTCCATGGCCCCGGCCATTCCGCTTTAGCATCAGCGTTACAGCGCGATCCCGTACAGAGAAAACTCCCCGGGAACTCTCCTCCTCCTCCACCAGATGCCGATCCCTCTACGTTACCACTTATAAAATCAACTTATGGGTCGTTCGATGCCAGATCTGGCAAAGACGGTGGCTCAGATCAGGGTGCCGGGACGATGGAAAACCCAGACATCGTAAGGAGGCACTTGGTTCAACCGCACTATGATTCAGATCACCGCATGTCGGGGCAAGATTCTAACTCTTCAAGAAATGATGGGGCAAATGAGGAGTTCTCCAGTCTTCGGCTCCAGGGTGGTGATATTACAAGACCTATCTATAGATGGGCAGATGAACTAGCCGGACAGGCCAGCAATGGGCATCGTCGCAGGCGCAGTTTTGATATAGCTCGGCCAGAGCCGGAGAGCGAGGTCATGGATATCAATACGATCAAGGTGCCTGGAGGTTTTCGGAGAGATTTTCTCCGTCGGGTTGCTGCCCCTGGGGATTCGCAGGCCATTCACGCCGCTGAGCAAGGCGAACAGCAAAATGGTAGACCTGTTCTCCTCACAAACAATTTCTTAGAGTTTTTGACACTGTATGGCCACTTTGCGGGAGAGGAGCTGGAAGAGGACGATGAGGCCCTCGAACCGGATGAGTACTTTGCTCCTGACTTGTGGAGTCGTCGAGAGTCTATGACAGATGAGGATAGACGACTACTAGCGGAAGAGGAACCTCTGCTCGGCCCAGAGACTCCTGGGAAACGTCGCAGGCATAAAGAACGTGCGAAGCAACCGAACACCACCTCGACGGGAGCGATCCTTCTCCTTCTGAAATCGTTCGTTGGCACTGGTGTTTTGTTCCTGCCAAGAGCGTTTATGAATGGAGGAATGTTGTTCAGCTCCGTCGTACTGGTCTCCGTTTCGCTTCTTAGCTATTACTGCTTTATCCTCCTTGTCAACACACGACTGAAAATCCACGGGTCATTTGGTGACATCGGCGGCGTACTTTACGGTAAATATATGAGATGGATCATTCTAGGGTCCATCGTGCTCAGCCAGCTTGGTTTCGTGTCTGCATATATTGTTTTCGTTTCCCAAAATCTACAAGCGTTTGTTCTGGCTGTTAGCAAATGCAAAACTTTGATCGACATCAAGTTCATGATCTTGATACAATTGGTTGTTTTCTTGCCGCTCTCCTTCATCCGCGACATCAGCAAGCTAGGCTTCACAGCCCTCGTTGCAGATGTTTTTATCCTAATGGGCATCATATACCTATATGCTTACGGCATTGAGACGATCATCGACAACGGCGGCGTTTCTGACATCAAGCATTTCAACCCCATGAGCTGGACGCTATTTATCGGTACCGCCATTTTCACATACGAAGGCATCGGCCTCATCATACCCATCCAGGAGTCCATGAAGAAACCTCACAAGTTCCCTGGCGTGCTAGCCCTCGTAATGATTATGATAACTACCGTATTCCTCTCGATGGGCATGCTTGGATACGCCGCCTTCGGCTCCAAGACTGAAACCGTCGTCTTGCTCAACCTTCCCCAGGATAGCAAGGTTGTAAATGGGATTCAATTCCTGTATTCCTTGGCGATTCTTCTTAGCACCCCGCTGCAGCTGTTCCCCGCGATCCGAATCTTGGAGAACGAGCTGTTCACCCGCAGCGGCAAATATAACCCGGGCATCAAATGGAAGAAGAATGGATTTAGGTCTCTGCTCGTCGTTTTTTGCGCTCTTGTAGCGTGGGGCGGTGCAGCAGATTTGGACAAATTCGTTGCGCTTGTCGGGAGCTTCGCCTGCGTACCGCTGGTTTACGTCTACCCTGTAAGTTTTTCCCCACCATGCTCCTGTAAGTGCCGCTAATGAAATATCAAAATCACAGCCTATGCTCCATCTCAAAGCCGTTTCGACAACCGCACGCCAAAAATACGCGGACATCGGCCTCGCAATCTTCGGTGTGATCGGATGTGTCTACACAACCGCCCTGACTGTCTCAAACTGGGCCGCCAGCGAATCTTCCGGAAGCCCTACTCATTGTTCCGTGTGATACTAAGACGGAAGTTCGATGAAGAACGCTCCGACGAATGAAAACCCTTTCTCGACAACGGATCCCACCTATTTCCACTGCCCACACCACACCGTCATTCCCATCCACCGGGTTTTATTTATCTCCTTATTTATTCAACTAGAGCACCCAAATGGACATGAATACTTCTTATGTTGTAGCGGTGCTGCACAGAAATGTTCCTGAGATTACTTTTGCAGCGAGAGCGCGATTTCTTACATATTATTTCTCCATTTCTTCTATCCGTTCGCATATATATATATATATAAATACTACTTCACGATTTTCACGGAGTTTATTTCTAATGAAGCGTTTCAAGCTCTGAATTTCATTCATTTTTTGTCAGACCTATCTGCCTTGCCATGTAGCTAGCAATTAAGCAAGCTTTACACCTTTCACTTTTTTCAAATTTTCCCTCTAAATTGCCCTCTTTTAAATGTATTAGAATTTATCTGGCGAAAATTTGTTTTTGACGCATATGCAGAAATCCTCATTTGATATTCTGTGTATGGAAGAATATGGATAGACTTTTTAACTTCCATCTGCTTGCTGCTTGTTCTATTTTATCTCAATCACTTTTGTACATACATACATGTGCTACTGTACATAGCCAAACTCCAAATCAGACAAATAGTGCATACGTACCATACACCAACTTATATCTACATGAGAAAGGCGTAGTTTCAAAAGAGAAAAGAAAGACTTCGCATCCTCTCTATTGTGCGAATGATCAGATATTAGAAAGGAAAAGAGAACAAGAGGGATAAGAATCAAATTGAAACAGAAAGGAATCGGTATATGGAACAATCCAGGACTGTATATGAAGACTTGTCCCCCAATACAACACGGTCATACATACAGAGAATACATAACAGGGCCGTGTAAGGGGCCGGTGTGTACAGTAGACTGACTCAAAACAAAAAGAAAGGCAAAGATAAAAAACAACCAAAAATGGAAAAAGGAAGAGGAAGAATGCGGTAAGTAAAAGGGAATACCAGTATCACATATTGTAGGGCGAGATCTTGTTACTTTTTCTTCTCCGCAGCAGCAGCAGCGCCGCCCGATTTTGGCTCGTCGAATGTCTTTCCTGCGGCAATGGCTGCTTCGCGTCCACCCCAGCTAGATTTTAAAATGTGACGTTAGCGTTGTGTGTATCAAGCATGTGGAACTCTGTGCTGAGAAGGATACGAAGGCTGGCGGATGTAAAGACAATAATAATAAAGGGATATTTATTCTCCTCTTCTCTTGGCCCCCAAAGAGGGGGGAAAAGGGGGGGAAACACGGGAAAGAAGATCCAAGGAGAGATTGATTACATACTTCCACCAATTCAAATACCGATATCCCTGCGTCAGCTGCGCGCCAAAGTTGACGAAATGGCATGCGAACAGCAGGTAGTTCTTAGGGGTTACGGCGAGGGCGTAGCGCATGAATGTTCCAGAGTATATCACCAGGGCGCCTGTCATTTGGCCGGAGATGCTGTATTATTGTTAACACAGAAATGTTACTAGTTGCTGGATGTCCTTTGCTTCAAAGTCAAGATCGGAGGCGGGGTGTAAATGTTGCGTTGAATGGGGTGTGGAATACGGAGGGAACAGAGGTTGGGTGGTGGTTATTCAGAATCCGAACGGAAAGACGACGTACATTTCAGGATCTTTCTGTGTATCCATCACGGCAGCGATGGGAATACCGAAGTTTGAGACGGGGCCCCAGAAATCTGTTTTTCGTATTTCACATATAATTGAAGTTGGTCAGCAAGAATGTTTGCCAAAGCATAAGTTCTTCTCCCGCTGCCATATATGTAGATATATCATTACAGGAAAATCAATAATGGAATGACATCCGTCTCGATTGCTTGCTTGCTTCACATCTCCTCTTCCCCCACTCCCTTCTTTTTTGAGTAACTTACGTGTTGAACATACATAGTCCAGCACCTTGTTCGAGCGTATCTTTGCATTGAGAGCTTTGATTGCGGCGGCCATCTTGTCTGGCTTGGAAAGTAGGAATAGGAGGAAGGGAGTGGGTTGTAGGAGTGTTCACAAGCTAGAGGTAACTAGAGGTTATAGAAAAATAAATAGAATAAGTAAGTAAGAAGCAGCTGTGACCAGGCTCCTGGGCTTCGTTCTCGTTGGCTAAGTATTTAAAATTGGAGACGTTTTTGTCTCTCATGCTCTGACTCCTCCAGCTCTGTTCGCTCTGTATCATGTAGATGCAATCACTTTTTGGCTCCGAAATCCGGAGGGAGACAGAGGGCGCTAGCCGTATTCGGGGTGTTCCTGATCACGTGCCTACCTGTTCCGTCGCAATTTTGATATCAGGCACAAAGAGAAAGGATGAAGGAAACGAGGGGAAGAAAAGGAGGGAAGACCATATTCTCTTTTTGATTTTTTTAGATCTTTGACTAGCTAATACAATTAATCTGTCTTGGGTGTATGGCCGGCAAAAATAAAACGAAGCTGTAGAAAATTAAAAAAGATAAAAAAAAAAGCTTCGGTCTCGGAGAGAGAAGACCCCCCCGATCAACTTCCGATCAACTTTCCCCCAATACCCTAGCGCCCAAACGCCATTGTATAAGAAGTCGAATTTTTATATTGTTTTCTCTTTCCGAATAACAGCAGCAGATGTTCCGTCATGTGTAGAGTTTGGTGCTTGGCGGCAGCTTGTCCGTGTCAAAATGTTGGATGCTTGTGTATCCATGTAACAAAAAGAAAAGTTCCTTTCCTGTCACGTTCTTCTAAAAAGTAGTCCGTTGCTTTGCGTGCGTCTCCATCAACGTACAACTCAAATTGGCTCCCTCAAATTTCATCTTCCTCCAAACCCAGGGGGCGGGTACCCTCTACCTTGGCCAGGAGGGGGCTGGAAACCAGGTGGAGGTTGGAATCCGCCGGCTGCTCGTAGATATCCAGTTAGCAAATGAATAACTATAATAGCCAAGATATACAATTAAAAACAAAAGAAGGGAGAGAAAATCACTTACGAGGTCCACCTGGTACACCAGGTCCACCAAATCCAGGAGGCGGTCCGAAGCCAGCTACAGGCGATAGCCACACGTTAGTTTATGAATTCCTCAAGTCAAAAAAGGTTGCAACAGTGCCAATGGAGAAATTAACTCACGAGGGCCTCCAGGTGGTCCTCCTCGTCCTGGGAACCCGGGCGGAGGAGCCCCAGGGAACCCGGCAGGGGGGAACGCTCCAAATCCTCCGGGTGGTGGTGGTCCACCAACACCAGCCGCTGGTCCACCCAGGCCAACCGGCAAACCCCTTCCAGCCGGTCTGCTAATACCAGGTCCTGCAGCCAAGGTCGCAGCAGCAGCTCCTGATACACCCGGCACAGTTGTGCCTAACCGGGCTGCGGGGTCAGCGGGCGGGGGTCCATCAACAGAGCACGAGACGACGTGTGTTCCGCGCACGATTGTTAGCCCGAGGGTTCGTTTCTCTTCTGCTTCGACAAGGGTTGGTGTGCTGGACCCGGGGGCTTGGGTGGATTTGGTTGGTTTTCTCTTGACACGGCGGAATTCTTCTGTATCTGCTAGGACGAGATTCATGTGCTGGCATCGTGAATTGGATATCAGCGATCGGCACTTGTCATTCATATATATGTGGATGAGGCAGAAAGAAGAAACTTACCTTATCGAAGGCCAGCATTTGGCCTGTCATTTGACGTCCATCGGTAAGCGTTACCCTCATCCGGTAGTTGATCTGGGTTGCCAAGTTAGCGCAATCATAGCTGCAAGTTACGGATGTAGACGCGGCTAGGTCAACGTACGAGGTTTTGCTAGAATGACGTTAGCAACTGATTTCCCATCAATCAATGAATCCCGCTCCATTCACGCGATCTGCTGGACGTTAACATACCATCTTGCCTTGTTTATTTGCGGACATTCTGCTTCACGGCGCGCACGAGTGCGACTTTCTCCAACCTAGCTCAGGACAGAATAAAACACAGCGAATATCAAAATGATTCAACCCCAGCTATCTTTCCGCAAGCTCTCTGCAATAAGAACAACTGATGGACTCTAGAGAAACAAGTCGGCAAGGGAGCTTGACTTTGGCGCATTTATAATATCATACACGCCCGCCTCTGGTGCTGGGATGGATGCAGTCTGGAAGGTTTAGCTCGCTAGTCAGTGCCAAGACGCCAAGACACTAAGGGTTTTTGCGTTCTCAACCCACACAATTTACAACATCGACATTGCCCTTTTCCAACCTCAGGATATTCATTTCAACGACAAACAACCGACTGTCCAGCCGCACACGAGTCGCCATGGTGTGTATTACTGAATTTCTATCATGCTCATTCCGTGCCGGATTTGGGCGACAATGAATTTATCCGTTTCTCTTGCTAATTCGATGCGATGACAGCCAGAGGGAAAAGACACCAGCAATCCCATGCGGGAACTCCGCATCCAAAAACTCGTCCTCAACATCTCCGTTGGCGAATCTGGTGACAGACTCACCCGTGCTGCTAAGGTGTTGGAACAGCTGAGCGGTCAAACTCCTGTCTACAGTAAGCACATACAACGAAAACCCATCGAACATTCGGGAGACCCCACCATTATAGCCAGCGGATGGCAGCGATAAGAGAGGGGAAACCGGGAAAATAGCAACTCTGATCTGACGGGAAAATTTTTATAGGCAAGGCCAGATACACCGTTCGTACCTTTGGTATCCGTCGTAACGAGAAGATCTCCGTGCACGTTACCGTCCGTGGACCCAAGGCTGAGGAGATCCTCGAGCGTGGCCTCAAGGTCAAGGAATACGAACTGAGAAAGAAGAACTTCTCCGAGACTGGCAACTTCGGCTTCGGTATCAGCGAACACATCGATCTGGGCATCAAGTATGACCCCGGTATTGGTATCTACGGAATGGACTTCTACTGCTGCATGTGAGTTTTTCCGCTTGTTTTTTTTTTTTTGCCTTGATTGCCTTGAATGCAGATTTCTCCCGCATTGAGATTGAGGTGAAGGACTTTTGGTTTTTTCATATCTCCATCAGTCTCTCAATGTGTTTGCTTTCGTTACATGATTTGTGGAAGAAATGATGATAGGCCAATCGCATTATTGACCTATATTTAATAGGACCCGACCTGGTGAACGCGTCGCTAAGCGCAGACGATGCAAGTCCCGGATCGGCGCCCCCCACAGGATCAACCAGACCGAGACGATGAAATGGTTCAAGACTCGCTTCGAGGGAATTATTCGGTAAATGCGTGTTGAGCTGATTTGCGTCACTGTTTTTCAATGGGGAAAAGAGTAAAAAACGGGAGCTGGGGGGGTTTAATTTTTCATCCTTTTTCTCTTTCTTTTTTTTTCATTAATCCAGCGTCAGGTTTGGGCATGTTCTCGTCTTCCTTTTTTTCCCCCTCTTTTTCTTTGTTTTTTCCCGTTTAATGATGTAACTGGAAACGAAAAGAGGAAACCGAAAGAGAAAGCCGAGAGGGAATCTGGTACGCAACAACCCCCGAATTCTTCGGTGTCCAACACGAGCCTTTCCTGAACGCGGTTGTACCATTCTGGAGGTTTGGGCTCGGGTTACTAGATTCCCCATCTTCGCTATCCTCATTTCGGTTCTCTCCCCCTCCCCCTCTTTTCCGCTATACACAAATCAATGACACGAATGTTTTATTCCTGACACGAAAAAAAAAGAAGGGAAAGTTGAAAGATCGCTATTTTCTTTTGCTTGTTTTCCAAAGATTCCACAATGGAGGCTTCACAAAGGGTGTCGTTCCGCTTAACCATTGCTTTGAAACGAAAGAGAGAAAAAACCAACAAAAAGTTCCACTGATATCCATCGGTGCGGGCGGGAGGCGATTCTTTTCCTTTTCTTTTTTTTTACTTTCTGAGGTGCGTCGAGTCGACCCTCAGGCGGCCTGAGATTTGAAAACATTGGACACTGGACTCTATCCTCTTGTTTCTTGGCCCCCTGGCCGATGGCTTGGAAGAAGCTAAGGCATATATATGGAAGGAAGACGAGGATAGAGTCTGGTGCTTCCATGTTTATCATTTCCCTTACCTTACCGACACCACCGACCATCACTCTCATCTCGCTCCTTCGCTCCTTTCTACATGGGTGGAGCTCTGTTTATCTAGGCTGGGAATAAACCCATGCCCGGATAGATATACTCTGTGCCATGGAAGGAGAGCCGGGACGAGATGAGGGCATGTGAGGAGGGCCGAGGCGAGGTGAGCTCTGAGGGGTGGGTTGGGACACGCAGACACTTGAACACTAAGCACTTGATACGATGGCTATCAGGGCTAGGGTGAGAGTGAGGGAGAAAGAGAGAGAGTGTGTGTGTATGTCTCATCGAACTGCGACACGACGCATCCCGTGCCTTTTCATCTATTGGATGCCGGAGAGGCATATTTGTGCTTGAAGAGGAGGAGGTTTGCGTATGTCATATCATCTCGCGATCAAGTACACACTCAGGTGGGTTGTCCAGCCATGGGCCTCGTAGACAGTCCGTCCCACAAGCAAGGGGGGGGTTGAAGTAGCATTGAGCATCGCTATGCAGGTAGGTTCAACAATCATCAATCTTCCCGTAACTAGTTTGTCGGTGCGGCTTTCAAAAAAAAAAAAAAAAAAAAAAAAAAAAAAAAGTCCGCGGTTATATGGTCAAGAGATAGCGTTTCGTTAACTACGCATCCGGGCATATACCTTTTCGCGAGTGGCATGGAAGGAGATATCCATCTGATCCCACATGGAGAGTAGTCTACTCTAGTCAGATCCCCACCGCACAGGTTTGGAAAAAGACTGACAGCGAAAGTCCCACTCTTGTTTCTTCTAGGCGAAACTTCAGCAAATTCCTCTTTCTTCCTCCTTTGCTCAGCACATCTCCAGTTCTTCAACATCATAGGTGCCGAAAACAAATCAAATGGTCAACATTTCCCTCTACATACGTCTCTTAATCCCCAAGGAGCCCTTCGAAAACATCACCCACACTTGAGGAGATCTCTTTTGAGAAATATCCAAAAAAAAAGTCTCGTTCAAAAGGGTTCATATTGAATTAAATACATACAGACATACAGACATTGCCAGTCCGCAAACCACCAAAGAAGAAACAGGGAAAATAATTGCGTATTCCCTCCCGTATCATAATATATCCACAGATCAGTCTGGCACACCTCATCGACCTAACTGCATCGCCTGGCAACCTGGTTTCAGCCAACATTCATTGCTCCCTACATGCTAATCTCTCTCCTTTTTCTACTTCAAACAATCTTCAAAAGGTTCGGATTTTAAAACCCCGTTGCGGATAAATGAACATTTCCGCGCAGCAACGTGTCTGACAGTAGGAGTTTGTCGGAAGTTGTAGAAATTTTCCAAAGAGATCATCAAAAAGGGGGAAAGGAAAGAAATGAAAATAAGAAAACTCGGCCACAATTCATTCACTCATATACGCCCCCAAACAACGCTTTTTTTTTTCATATTTTCTGCTGTCTTCACTGGCTGTTACTTGCCTTACTCTCCTTCACTACTGTTCTCATGGCTGCATTTGCTGTTTCACTTCTCTTCCCCAGAAACATGCACGATGCATAATCACGAATCAAAAACCTATCGCTTTTGATTTGAGATACCTCTCACATAGCTATACGGGAAAGAAAAAAAAGGCCAACATCAGCAAACTGCAACTCTCCAGTCCCAGCAAAAGCATGAACATAGCAATGGGAAAGGGGTCCAAAACTCACTTATCCCACCAACTCGCAAAGAACCTCTTCCTGTCCGGCCCTGCACCGACATTCTGTTCATGCCACTGCTCCCTGCGCAATGCAAAGCTGGTATCCGCCGTATTCCGCTTCTGCGACGCGAGGTTGGAGAAGAGGTTCGTCCCGCTGATGGAGTTACTTCTTCGGAACGAGCTAGGGCGTTGGGGGTTTTCGGCTTCGGCTTCCGCACTGGAGCCGGAGCCGGAGCCGGAGCCGGAGCCCAGTCCCGCGGTGGCAGGGGTGCTGTGAACGGGCGGCTGATGGGCCATATAGGGCGGGCGCTGGGGTGGGAATGTCTGCTGTGAGAGTGGGCTAGTGCTGAAGGAGGGGAAGGTGAAGTGGTGCGAGATCCCGGAGGGCTGGGAAGCGGAGGCTGTGGGGCTTGGGGGTGGAGAGAGGGTTCCTCCCGATGTGCTCTCGCGGGAGGAAGAAATGGAGGAGGTTGTGGAGGCCTGCGTATATTAAGGTTAGTGGGATGATGATGGCTCTTTTATTTTCTACTTTTCTTTTGTAATCGGGTAGTGAATGTTGCTGGAGAAGGCAGTAATTTCTTCAAGACGTACCCGGCGCAGATTTTCACTAGGGGACGAGACGATATTTGGTCTTGTAGGTGTATAATAATATGGAGGCCCACCACGAACCCAAACGGGAGGATGATCTGGACGGTCGCTGGGGCGGTCGCTGGAGTGGCTACTCATTTCGTTCTCAGTGTCTCTCTTGTTCGTTTCAATTTTCTGCGATGACCCTTCTGTTAACACAGTGTTGCAGAGTACAATAGTTGCTCTGCAGTGGACGGGTTTGGGATGGGAAGATTGGAGCTCTGATAGCTCTGAAGTGTAAGTATGAAAATGAAGGGGGAGAATAAGTCTACGTACCTCTTCACCTCTTGATGAGAAACTGATACAGGTCAATGATATCCTCCAAACGGCACTTATACGGTGGTAATATGCCTGGGAACAGGAGCCTGGATGGAAAAAGATGTTCGACCAGCAGCGGGTGCAGCGGCTCTTATCTGCCGGGGGGGAGGCGAAGAGGGGAAGCTTGTAGGTACATGTACATACATTACACACATATACCACACACACATACCGCCACAGTGCTTGTCTTGGCTGCTCTGGAAGTTGGCTTAAGGTAGAGCCAAGTACCGGTACAGTGCTGCTAACAGGGCTGCTAACAGGGCTGTTAACAGGGCCAAGTACAGCCAATGGATGTTTGACTGGGGTAGAACCTTGGAGGATAACATACCAGTTAGCTTACCCCGGATTTCAGCAGGCTATTCGAGCTAGATGCTAGATCTTACCCCCACCACCACACTATACTATACTCATGACGGTAAGCGGGTAGTAAGACGCCTCTTTGCTCCAGAAATCACGTACTCTTCCTACATAACTAATAGATCTTCTTGATATTGGGTTATACATAGATAGTTAGATCTCCCGGCAGCCAAAAACGATGTTCTGGGCCAAGTATCCCCAGGTAGCGGTACCTCCACCTCTGGCTTGACGTCATTTTTGTCTTTCGCCAAGCATCCGCCAACGACGAAGGTTTAACCGTTAGCCGCATCCATGGGACTCCGTCTCAACAACGGCGGCGTATCGATTATAGAATTTCCATATATGTACTCCGTAGATGCCAAAAATTCAAAAAGAGACATCATTTTGCCGTTCTTGCAAAGTATAACCACCGCCATGTGTTCCCCAACGGATTCCCTCGGCTATTTCTACCTCTCTCTCGCCTCCACCTCGCTCCCCTCCGACTCTCCTTCTACAACGTCTCGTCCAGTTCCAAAGCTCCAAAAGCGATAGCTATCTGCCGGCTGTTCTCTGCTGCAGACGCTTCGACTTGATCGTTACTATCCTTTTGGGACTGCCTGATACTCGTTCAAGCTCGTTATCGCCTTTTTGTGCGCTCCGCAAGAAAACTTCAACCTTCACCTGCTTCCTGTAGCGCCCGTTCGGACCTCTCTGAAGCTCCAAGAAGAGAGAGATATCTTGTCTACGGCTCGCCTTTCAAAGAGACTCATTCGCATGTGCGTCTATACGAGAGCCCGTTAGGCTATTCTATTAAGCTCGCCAGGTTTTACATCCTGAAAAGCTCCTCTGAAAGCCCACCGACAGTTGCCACCGTTATCGCAGACGGACTTGTCAAATAAGTCCCCTAGTGGCACCTCACTCTATCGGCATTTTACATTACAGTATAACTGCACTACCCTTTACTCGCAATGTATATGAATCCCCTTAGCAAAATTCTTCTAAATCTTTACGTTCTATACATCCCGTCCATCGTGCTAACCTCTCCGTACAGGATGGATTTCCTGTCCCTCTCCAAAAGAATCCGTGAGATTCTAGAGAATCTGGAGAACGAGGTCACCAATCCTCGCTCTGCGGAATCAGCACCATCTGCCCCGGAAGTCGAACTCTGCGAACTCTTGGGTGTCCCCCTGCGGTCTAAGGACTGCGCCTGCTATGCCAAAGCCGCCTCCACTGGCCGCCAGTGCAGAGGCGAAATCAGCCGACAGCAGCGACACATGGCAAACCTACTTCTCCGAAGCGCCAGTCGAGCCTTCCAGAAAGAAGGTACCGACCTCAAACGACTCATGGAGCTCTATGAGCGAATCCCAAGCTACCTGCTCTGCCAGCACCACCAACAGAAACTGAGCAGCCGCTTGGCCGTGGACTGGATGCTGAAGACGATGCACTATCAATTCGTGGAACCTGGCATGTGCCAGCCGTGCACGAAGACCAGCCTCGAGCCCATCATGGAGATGTTAAATTCCATTGGCAAGCGCTTGATGGCCGATGGGCACCTTTCCGCCGAGGCCTGCAAAGCTGGACATATAAGTTTCGGCGAACCTGATCCTGAACCTGAGCCTGAGCTTGAGCCTGATCCTGATCCCGATCCTGAGCCTGAGTCTGAATCTGAACCTGAGCCTGAGCCTGAGCTTGAGCCTGAACCTGAACCTAGGGCAGAGCCTGAGCCTGAGCCCAAGCCTAAGCCTAAGAAGCATAAGCCCAGATCTGATATACCGGCCTTCTATCTCTGCCGCTACCTAAATAATCTGCTCTTGCCACATTTCAACACACTAGGAAGATTTAGCGATAGGCGGGCCCGCATGCCAATCGTGGGCGACTGTCAAATCTGCATGCAGCGTCTCCGCAACAAGAGTTTAAAGAAGTACTGGCAATACCACAACCCTGTTCGATCGCGGGATCAGCAGGTAAAGGACCCCGACTATCTTACCCACTGCGCACAACGCTGTGGGCAAAATTTTCATGCAGAATGCATGGACGAGTGGATCATCTCCTGCGTCAAATCCCGGCTACCTATTACGTGTCCGAACTGGTATGTGGTTTAAATCCCCACTCTTCTTCTTCTTTCCCTCATTTTTCCTTCATCAGATTTTGAGGACCAGACAGTGTTGCTAACCACAATGTCTCAAATGATGAATAGTCGTTGCCAGGGGCCCCTAGTCATGCCAAGAAAGAAGTGATCTCGGTTCACACCTTTTACACTTTTTTCTTTTTCTTTTTTTTAATGTCTTGTCTATTCGATTCCACTGCGAAATACCCCCATTATAACTACTGTTCTTTTTTTGCTCTGCCTCTGTAATTCTCAATTTTATACGTCTGCTCTTTGTTTCATGCTTTTGCTGGTGTTTTAACTTTCAACGTTCTCCTCCCTTACTACCTCGTGTCTGCATGTGAAGTTGAAAACGGAATCGTGTCTCTTTTTTCCCCATCTCTGCGATGTTTATTTCAGATGTTGAGCAGCATTTTCTTCACGTACGTATGTATGTATGCATGTATGTTTGTATGCTTGTACGTACGTTTGTATACATGCATGTCTGCTCTCAAATTTGGAAATAAGCACTGATGTTTTCACTTTGTTAAACAAATGAAATTGTTTTGGGGCTTTCATTCTTGCAAATAAAGACTACTGAATTTGTCTCACTTTTCATCTCTTTCAGATAGTTATCATCAGAATGCATACACCTGTTTTGTTCATTACTCATTAGCGTCATCGACACTATAAAAAGCTTCCTTTCTCATTTTACATTCCATCCACATTCAGTCGATTGGTTCGTAGTTAACTACGTAGTAGGCTAGACTGTGTATCTGCCCATTTATTGAGGTTCCTTATCACACTAGAGCAGGAAAGGTAAAAGAAAGAGAAGCAAGCGCGGGTACACATACTGTCTTTCTCTTTATTGCCTAGGCCCACCTAGTTATACGAGAAGAAAGGAAAAAATTTTGTAGACTCCGCACCTTGGCCGCAGGTGCAGATTTACTATATCACCGTGTCAGGAAAAAGAGGTTATACACTACTGAACGCCACCAACATCGTATTACTACAATATTTCTCATCATCATCAGCTTACTACAACACTCGTCTAATACTCGCTTATGCTAGCTCTCTTGGCTCACACATATATTTTACTATAAATAGCTCCATCTTTTGTATGAAATAGATATATTAGATAGTGCATGGATAATATAACAAGCAGATCTTGATACAGATAAGATTCATATGTCTTCAACATATTCATCCATGACACCCAATCTGACAGTTATGAGCCCAGTAAGCAGCATCTGAAGAGAAGTATGATACATCACCAATCCCAATCCTCATTCAAATTTGACAACAATCATTTGAACTGAGATGATTGATCCTCATTTGTATACAGTCTGATCTACTCAACTGTTATATCATACCTGATTCCCGGTAAGCAGCATCTGAAGAGAAGCATGATACATCAATCTCAATCCTCATTCAAATTTGACAACAATCATTTGAACTGAGACAATTGATCCTCATTTGTATACAGTCTGATCAACTCGACTGTTATATCATATCAGATTCTCATCCTCATTCAAACTGATAACTATCATTTGAACTGAGATGATAGATCCTCACTTGTATATGTTCTGAAATACTTGACTGATATACACCCTGAATTCTGATCATATCTATTCTTAAATACTTGAACTGATTCCTCAATTCATTCAATATAACTGATATGACAGACAAGATAATGTCTAGTGTGACAGTACACCTTAGTGTTCCTGAAGATTGGAAACTTTGATACAAGTATATACTAGAATATACAAAGAATAAGAAGATATCAGACTTCATTAATCTTGATAAACCTGATATCTTCTCTGAACTAGAAGAATCTCTGAAATCTGAGAGTTCAGAAGAAGTCACTGCAGAGATTAAGATAGCATATGACATCAAGATCACTGTGTGAAAAATCAAATATATGAAATATGAGAAATTGAATGAAGGTATGACAAAGATACAAGATATCATATAAAGAACAGTGAATATCACAGAGCTATAACATGTATACAGTGAGAATGATGATATAAAGAAGATTATCTGTTCATTAAGAGATCATCTCTCACTCACAACTACAGACTATTAAGATGATGTGAGAACCTGATATCATGATCTCTGCAAAGCACTGAAAAACAGAGATATAGAGAAGTGATTAAATGACTGATCACTCATTGAAGATGATATCAAAGAGACAAATATAGCTGAACAGTTTAACTTAAAGAAAGATTTCTTAAATGTGAACCTAGCTATTAATGCAGATTATGTACAAGCATGGGCTAAGAATGTCTGATGTGATAAAGATGTTATATCTTTGATAGAGTTAGTTAAGAACTTCAAGAAATGATATAGAGAAATGAGTATTCTCAAAGAAGATAAACCTATGAACTTTGCTACTCTTAATGAAAGATCTCAGCAATTATCACCAGCAACATTCAGAAACTGCATCTGCAGAGCCTGTCACTGATACACTCAGTGCTACTATCTCAATTCATCAAGAAAGTCATCTGAATGAAAGGAAAATGAGGAGAAGAGAACTCAGATTGATCAAGCTCTTAAAAATCAAGAATTAAAGAGACATGTTAATTATGTGATATCTAGAGATTCATTCATGAATATGAATATGATAGATGTCAATGAAGCAGTTATAGAAGAAATGATTCTGAAGCAATCAGTTTCTTAATCTATTAATCATCAATCTATCAATTATTAATCTATTGATCATCAATCTATTAATCATCTATCTATTGATAATCAATCTATCAATCAGCAAATCCGAAAAATATCAATGAACTCTTCACATTCTCACTTCTATCTCTGAAACTCCTGGATCTTTGATACTGACATGAAACAGTATATATGCAATAATCAAACATGTTTTCTATTCTTTACACCTGTGAATGAGAATGTGAAAGTCTATACAGGCGATTCCAGCACTAAAGTTGAAGATTATGAAACTGTTAGAACTATCATGATAAATGAAGCAGGAAAGCAGTTCAATGTTAAACTCATCAATGCAGCTTACATTCTGAATTTTCATACAAATATCATCACATGGAAACCGTGTTTTCATATAGAAGGCATCTATTATGATGAAAAAGACTTCAGATTGTGAAAATGCACAGATAATACAATCTTTGCATGTGTTGAAGTATTTGAGAGATTGCTAGTTACAGAATATAGTGATATAACTGTTTTCTCAACTATCTCAGAAAAATTCACTACTGAAGCTGATACAGTTATCACATCACACACATCTAACATCACTATATCTGAAAAAACAATATCTTCAAATTCTTCAACTTCTACAAATCCTTCTTTCAACCTGTCAATATGCATAAAACCTTCTCAAAAATCTAAGATCTCTATAGCTACTCAATCAACATGATATAAGAGATTAGAACATTCATTGAAAATTACTATATAAAAGCTTGCAAATGATGCAACTGGTGTTCAAATCACCAATCTAGAAGATGCTGTGAATGAGCTTATCACTGAGCTTTGTAAACCCTGTCATCTATCTAATGCAAAAAATCAAATATCTAGATATTCTTATGTTAGATCTCAAATATCATTTGAACATCTACACACAGATATCACACATGACTCTACACAGTGCTATAATGATGAGTGTTATCTCATACATTTCATGTGTGATTATCTATGTTTTCATATAGCTATAACAGCTATCTGAAAATCAGAAATCTGAAAAGCTCTTAGACAAGCTATCAATTGAATTAAATGTCAATTCAACTGTACTATAAAGATTATTTGTATTGACAATGATACTGCAATCAAGAAAGCAGATGATTTCATAAATTGAGTGAATAATAAGAGTCTAGAGGTGAAGTATTCTTCAGAGTATATTCATGAATAAAATGATGCAGCAGAGTGAGCAGAAGTAATATTAATAACAAAGACAAGAACTCTACAGATAGAATTTCTTCTATCATAATCACTATTCTCTGAGATTGCACTTGCTGCCACCTATCTAGTGAATTGAATCCCTACTAGAATTCTAGATTGAAAGTCATCTCTATAAGCATTGAAAGAATTTCTATAAATCAAACCTCACTTCTGTGCTTATCTTCAAATCTATGAATGTTGCATCTATGCAAAGATACCAGATGAAGTTCTCAATAGAAACCACTCTCAGAAGCTAGATCTCTGAGCACATATTGAATATTTAGTTGAATATAATTCAACAAATATCTATTGAATTTGAATTCCACACTTAGAACAGGTGATAAGAGCAAGAGATGTGATGTTTAATGAGAATAGAAAATTCAACTCAGAAGACTTCTACATTGAAAGACAACTAAGAGATTGAGTATCTAAGAAGGTGAAGCTTCTACATATGAAAGTTTGAGAATTATCAATGACTACTATCAATCAATTGAAAGAGATTATAGATGCAGATATTGATATTTTTCACTCTGAAGAAAATGCTCAAAGCTCTGAAAAAATAGAGAAGGAGAATAATGAGTATAAATATCATGACATTTCAATTCTTTCTACATCAGATTCAATGCCAGAGTCAACAGGTCTCAATATTGATATTAATACTTATTTAGCTGTGATAGATAATCAAACACAGAACATTGCATCTAGAGCTCAAGATATCAGTGCTGATTTTGATGAAGCTAATATCATTGAAGATTGCAGAATATGAAAACACAGAGCTGCTCATCTTGTGACAGTTTCAAATGTCAAAAACAATTCATTATGAATGATAAATGAGGTATTCTCTCAATCACACTCAGACTTCTACAAGTCTCAACATTTATTTTCAAATACTGTTTTCACAGTTATCAATAATACTGCTACATCAACAGCATTCATATCAACTTCAAGAATTCATAGATCTCAAATGTCAGATTCACTGAATCACTGAGCAGATGTTAAAAAACACTCACATTGTGAAGAATTTGAGAATGCTGTTAAACAGGAATGAGATAGTATATCTCTGCAAAATACATATGAAATTACTAGCAGATCATAGAGAGATGTTTCAGTTATTTCTCTATAATAAGTATTCATCTACAAATTCAATGATGAAGGTTTTCTTTTGAAATACAAAGCTCATATCTGTGTATGTGAAGATCTTCAATCAATCACAGATCTCACTATAAAAGCTCACACTCTAGCAGTCAGAGATCTTTGAATCTTGTTAGCTTTAACAGCAGTATTTGATCTAGATGCAGAACAGCTAGATGAAATCAATGTCTTCATTAATAGTGATATTGATGAGCTAGTATATGTAGAACTACTCAATGAATAATGAAAGTTAAAGAGAATGCAAAATTTGAAGTATACAAATCATGTACTAAAACTTCTATAAGCACTATATAGATTACACAGATCATCTCTTCTCTGATTAAATGAACTATCTTCAACATTGAGAATATTAGACTTCATCTCTATGTCAGAGAATTGATGTCTCTTCTTTAATGATTAATTAATTATCTTCTTCTATGTGAATGATATCATCATTCTATCATAATGAGAAGATTCAAAAGAAAGAGATCAACTAATTGAAGATCTTAAAAATGTCTATAAGATCTGACAGATGAGAGATTTGAAATGATTTCTCAACATGTGAATAATACACAATCATCTCAACTTGAAGCTCTGACTATGCCAGAATGCCTATATTAATAAGATAGTTAATGTGGCGTGCTTCCGCCCCCTATTCAAGTCAATCCTCTATTCAGCTCTAGCTTCCGCTTCATCTCTTGC